GGTTTGAATCCTTGCGGCCATGTCGCGAAGGCCGCTACTATGGTTGTGCTTGTTGTTTTTGTTTTTTCCTTCTGCGTGTGGCATTTTTTTTAGGTAGAAGGCTCTATCTACATTGTTGTTGTCCCCTGTGTGTTTGGCGCGCCTCTCCATGTACCATCGGCCAGGGGTAACCCCTCTATTTATATAAAATGCTATGTCTTCGATGCTGTTGTCAATTGTCATTGGGGGGGGAATTGGTGTGTCATGACAATTAACTACAGCAATGTTACGAAGAATGGAATGTTTCGTCTGTTTTCGATGTTCGATTTGCAGAGTTCGGGATTTGACAATGCAGGTTGCGATTTTGGGGTTGTTTCCAGTACCCAAATGTCACAAGATGCGTTTATCAAGTAGAGGGTTGATCCCTTCACGTCTGGTGTTCGGAGAAGGGGGGCCGCAGCCAGACATGCATGGGTAGGGTATGCAGGAAGAAAATAAAAGGTATTGTAGGAAACTGAACGAACGGAGGTTTGTTTGTGTTTGAGGAAAAATAATGAAAGAAGAAGGGGGGCCTATCTTTGTAGCACTCCATGACTCCAATGTACCTCGCGCTGTCAACCACGCAGGCAGGGCACGTAGCGATGTCACATGTTTCAAGGAGATTTTGTTTCTGAGGCAGGTTTGGTGTTGCTCCCATGTTGCTGAGGTATTCTGGTTTGTAATTTCATCGTGTTTGTTGGACATTGAATTCAAGATTGGCCGATAGAAAATACTCGAAAGGGTTTTTTTGTATTAATGGTCTTCGTGTTGTTATGAGGATGAGGTATTATTGTGGAGTCGAGCATTTTTGTGCAATCATGATTCTTGTGCTACGTGTGGATTTGAAGTCTCCTCGGAAAGTGATTTGTCCCGGACGGTGTTGGATGTGTTTGCATTTGTGTTCGTTTTCATTTGTTCCTGATATAACCCATTGCGGTTGTTTCCACGATTTGAGTTTTGGATGATTTGATATTGGGAATTTGAAATTCATGAGCGACCGATGGAAATTGTTGGTGGTGTTCCTGGTTTTATGGTTTGGAACCGATGGGAATTGCAATCAAGTGTTTCTGGTTTAATGGTTTTTAGTGAATGTTTTGATCTTTGGAGATTCTGGATACAATGGAGACCGATGGAGATTCTGGTAGTAGGTGTTTCTGGTTCGTTTGCGACAAATGGAAGTTCGAACTAGTCTCTCTGGTTTAATGGTTTATGGTTGTTGCAAGAGGATGGGAGGAGAAACGACTGTTGCACAATGACATTGATTTCTGGAGTTTTTGGGATGGGTTTCGTGTGATGCATAATATAAGCAAGTTCGGGTATAATCTTGACAATGCAGCGAGCAGGGGGGCTGTTGGATGTACTCACAGCATTGACAGATTATTGCAACCGAGGAATGTTCCTAGAAGATGGAGCGGGGGATTTTGGGGGTTCCGCAGTTGTAATAAATTGGGGGAATGGTGGTACCATCTTTGCCACATATTATTGTTTTCTGGGTATGCGTGTCAGCAACGGTGTTGGCCACGTGCCCTTGATTTATTCATCTTCCTTTTTCCCGGCTATCACGCCCTGGGCTATCACGCCCGTGCCCATACTACCTATCCACCATCTATCACGCTGCCAGGCTTTCACGCCTCTAGGCTATCACGCCATCACAACAGCTATCACAGCACCAGCGTCAACACATCAGAGCTATCACGCTCCGGAACATCATAGATGCGGCGGGTTACCACACCCGTGGGCAGTTTACTGTATTTTATCGTTGCCGGCAAACTCGCCGCGCGGTTCTTTTATTTTTGCCGTCTACAACTGCGCCGGGCGCACCAAGCCACCCAACAGCCTCCCATCATATCAAGAGCGACTAATAGCACGCTCTTTTTTTTGCTTCTTGCTGCTGCTGCTGCTGAGTTGTACTCCAATAATACGTCATCACCACCGCCGTGCTCATCCAATCTCCCGATGAAACTTCCCCGCAATTTCTTGCCTATACCTTGTTGTTGTTGTTGTCTTCACATTAAAAACCGTTCCGATCTCTCTCTACCCAGTACCTTCGTATGTATGTCCGTACTGATCCAACACTCGACGCGGTCGATTCCCGTGGTCACAGGTTAACTTACTACCCTAAAAAGGTACACTTGCCACTGTACGATTCAATCCCGCGCGACGAACCCCAGATTTCCTTCGTTCAATCTTACACATTTGTTCAAAACGAGGACCCGATTCGCTGAGTGTCCGTCGATTGACTTTTACCAGAATCGGTACACCTTCGTACATGGCGTCAGCAGGATACTGGTTCAAATCTCCTTGGGTGAACATTTTTTCTCCTGGCTTGGACATTTTCCCATGGACACAATGCGTGTCAGTCCTGAGAACACCTCTTGGAAATCGATCCTACAAAGAACAAACACACTTTCATCGAATTACCCGTCCTGGCCACAAGAGGTTCCCAGTTGAGGGTAAATTCTGTGGGTGGAGAGTTTTAAGGACCCGATTCGCAGGGTATCCGTCGATTGACTTTTACCAGAATCGGTATACCTTCGCACATTGATGATGGGGAATCCATGGTGATGGCGAATGAATTTATTCTCAACAGACGCTGCGGATCAAAGCCGCGACGAGCGAGCGTCGCGTGCCTACAGAATCATCAAACAAAGAGAAAAAAAAGTGGTTTGTTGTCCTTCCTCTACCAGGCTCAGCCCACAAGAAATGCCTCCGATGTGTGTGGACTTGACCGCTCTCCTCAGTTGGCGCTATGTATACATACCACGGTCTTATTGCCTCTAACAGCAGTAAGTACCTCTCTAAATGTTAGCTTATTACAGTATGTATGTTGACCTGCCGCTAGGTAACACTGATGACCACACTGGCCTGGAAGTTCGAAACTCGAAATTTGAAATTCGAAGTAGTATGCGTACCATATATGACACAAGATAACACACCCCCTGGACCGATTTTCAAAGCTCGATTACTCCACGACGAAGAGGATGCATAAATGAAACAATACGTTTTCGAACAGCTCTCGACGAGACGGTTCCAACGCCGCCGTTTTCGGCGCTGTGACTCTTCCTGCTGTTGAGAAATCGAGCTTTGAAAATCGGCCAAGGGGGTGTGTTATCTTGTGTCATATACGGTATGTATTTGTAGCAACAGGTAGGTGCGGGGTGTGATGTTTTGGACAGGACAGATGAACTTTGCACGTTGTGGCACGACAGAAGAAATAGAGACGGAGAATAAGTAGTTCCACACACACCTACTACAACTGAACTTCGTGCCCACCTGCCCATCATACCCCAGGCGCGACGTAAAGGAGATCCCAGCGCGGGCAGTGCTCGAATAGGAGTGACAGAAGAAGACGGCGAGGAGCACTTACAGAGAGGTGTGAGCAAGGTAGGAAACGGAGAAGGTTGTCCCTGGTCATAGCAGCAGCTGTGCGAAAAAATATGCGGCCCAACTTCATGTTCTGGTCTGGGTGGTGTTCTGGTGTCCTTTGCTCATGTCGTGTCGTGGCGCTTCTCTCTTTGCTCAAACAACCAACCTTGGGGAGATCGCGGCGGATTTGGCTGAGAATGAGTGAGACAGAGGGGGGGGGGGTGGGGGGGTGCATATCGTGCGGAAGAGGTGCGGTTAGACTGCGCGGGGGGCAAACGGTTGGATACTCTAGAGGTCTTCTTTACTACGGAGTATTTCAAGAATTAATCCGAACGATAGTTGTCACGTGGATGTGATGCACATCTGATCTGCGCATCATCACTGCTACATCGCTGGGGCGCCGAAGCATTACGCGGTCTAGGGATTTTCATGTGTCCACCTCAAGCCGCTGTGGTCCCTCCCTACATCGCAAACTTTTCCTTCGGGGATGTTCAACCCCGGTTCTGTGCCCTCCACCCGGCACGCGAGGCTGCTACAGATGCAGACCTTCACCATGGCGAGTGTGCTTGGTGGCGCTTGCTAGGCACAGGGCTTTGGAAGCTGCTGAGCTGTTGCTGTTGATGTGTGTGTGGTGTTGCATGGAAGATCCAAGCCGCTTTTCGGCATCAGCAGAGGCCCCGTGTAGACTGCTACCTGTCTCATTCCCCAAGCGACTTTGGTGTTGGGTTTGAGCCTGTACCGATTTGGAACCCACGGTGCCACGGAAGGAGAGTGCCCACAGCAGCCTAGCCCGGCGTGGACGATCTGTCCTTGATTCTTAACCCCACAGGTGTGAAGCCAACAGCGGAAGCTGCCTCGAATGTGGTCCGCTACTGCTGTCTGTATCCGCTACATTCTCTCTTCTTTGTTGTTATTTTGTTCTACAGCCCCTTGCTGTGTGCTGCTGCTATGTTCACGATGTTATAGCCCCCCTACTATAGAGGGACCACGCCCTAGACCGACAGGGACCTATAGCCCGAGGGCAGGGGGGTGTTCGGAACTTCTTACGCCCTCCTCACTTGGAGTATTGCGGCCACAGGTGTTCGGTGAACCACCGTGTGCTCCAAAGTGAGCGTCTCTAAATCATATGCTTTTTAGAGAGGAATTTGGGCCTTTTTTCCCCGCATTTTTTTGCTGACAGCTGGTGCTCCTCTCCGTGCAACCTATTTATGTAGGGACCTGCGACCGATCAGTTCCACCGCGCAAAGAACAGCAGGGCCGGGCATTTATTTCTGCTGTGTACCGAGACCTTCGGCTCGATACCCCGGACTGCTGCGGGGAGGAGAAGGGGGCGGCCCGCGATGGCCTACCCACCTTTCCCAGCGTTGTTCGTCTGTTCGGCAATCAGCTATTCACTTGTGCCCACCCACTGCATACCTGCACACCCTGCTGTGTCTTGACATGCGATATGTGGTCCAATGTACTGCTGTGGAAGTATGCCGCAGCAAGCGAGCAAGAGCACGTCTTATTATCCGCCTCTGCTGTGTATATACCAAGAGAGACGACCATGTTCATCCTTTGCCGAGAACTGCAGGTTGTTGGCGTCCTACCCAGCCCTGAGTACCATCCCACTACATATGATGGGGACGGTGGGGCACGGATTTGCGCTTTCGGTGGCGCTGCTGGCAAATTGGTCCATGGGTGCAATTCCAAGGTGAAGAAGTGTGTACATGATGGACCAACAAGGACCTTTCCTAATATCTAAACCTTTCTGCCTGTGCGCTTCGAAGATACCGATCGCCGCGTTCACCGCAGGTTGGCTACCTCTACCGAATTTGCTACAAGCTATTGATCGCCAGTACACAACAACGTTTTCGCTCGCTCACATCTACCTTGATCCGCCCCCTCCGGCAGATCGGTACAATACACCCATCGCCCCCGTTACAGCATGTGAACTTTTGTATGTGGTGCAAACCAAAATATGCGATGTTACTTAGAGGCGAGATAGCTCTCCGGAAACTCATCCAGGTTTTCCTGCTGTGTATTCGCGTCTCAGTGACGGAGCCCCCTTGACAAAGGGATGGTGGATGGATCTATTGGTTCTCGTCTGTATGTTTAGTCGCCGCTGATGTCGGCCCTGCCCTATCTCTGTTCAACCTGGGTTCAGTGTATCAAGTTGCATTTTTACCGATCATGCACATCATTTGCAATGCCATGGAATTCGAGGGTAATACTCCCTTTGTTGTGGGATATTGAGTACAAGGATCTGAGCAGTAGTTCTTGGCAAGATATTCCGGTTATGGCATGAGCTGCACCTCCTCATGCATAAGATTGTTATCAAAGAGGGGGTATTGCCATAGCGGCCCCTCCCAGCAAGGAGAGGTCCGCGCCCCCTTCTGTTGAGTCTATCCAAAGAGCAAGGAGACGGCATGTAAGGCGGCCAAAGAGATACCTACCGGAAAGTGAGTGATAACTCAGGGCCTTCAGGGATTGCTACGCCTGTAAATCTCCTAACAGTCCTGCGACGAGCAAGGAGACAGCATGTATGGCGGCTAAAGAGATAAGGAACAAAAATACTGTTGTGAGGTTTACACATCCAAAGTGGTGGAGGCCCTGAATATGACCCACATGTTTCTAAACCTCTTTGGCCGCCACAGATGCTTTGGACAGACTGAACAGAAGGAGGCACGGATCTGTCCTTGCAGGGAGGGGCCGCTATGGCAGTATCCCCTCTTTGATAACAATCCTAGGAGAGTTGAACCCTCCAACCATAACCTGAGTATCTTGCCTAGAACTAACGTTCACATCCTTGTACGTACTCAAATCCCATTACATCATTGAGTGTCATGGAGACCAACGGTGTGCCATGGAACGGCCCGTGGCAATTCACGGAGCCCCATGGGTATCCTTTGGCACTCTTCATATTGTTCAATGACATATTCCATACGAGTATGGGCTAATTGTATTTCATGGAACATGTACAATTATGGAATCTCAACGTGAGCTTGAATGCAAATAAATACTGAAAATGACCGGATAACACCTCGCAATCGAAGTGTCGACAACCAAAGTGCGTCCCACATGTCTTTGGTGGGGTAAATGCCGTGAAGCCCTTCTTTGCAGGACGTTTAGCGAAGCTTGGTTGGCTCATATGCTCAGGCTTGAGAGAGGAGTCGGCAGCGCGCTCGGCATTCCTGGTAGTGAAGCTGGCTCAAACCTAGAACTAGAAGTACCTGTAGCGAAAGGATCCGAGAGGGGAGCGAATGACGAGGAGGTGTTGTAAATTTCGTCCATACTGCCCGTCTCCATTGGATGCGGTGAATAGTCGCTCGGTGCATCCTGGACAACCATGTTGCTGGAGGGGCGTACACAATCCTGTCTATAGCAGAACATGCAGCATACGGCTGTTTGCGGGGTGTTGTTGCAGGCTAGTCCGCAAACGGCGTCCAGGAGTCGAACGGTCTAATCATGAACGAGAGCATATCACGCGAAAGAGGGAGCGAGAGAGCGAGGGAGAGAGAGAGAGAGAGAGAGAGAGAGAGAGAGAGAGAGAGAGAGAGAGAGAGAGAGAGAAAAGAGAGAGAGAGATGCCCATCCAAGAAAAACAAATCCCAATCGGTCTCTCCAACGGGGTGTTGTCTCTTCAAGCCAAGAAGATGAAATATCTCATAAAATACAAGCGGCTTCGTCTCGCCTGTCTTGCCGTATTTTGGCGCATGTACACATGCGTACAGCGCATGGGATGAGAAGGCGCACTTACACTATATTTTGAATTTTCCATTTATTTTGGACGTGCTGGCAGGGGTCACACAGGACGAACGCCACACAGGAGGTTGTTCCCCGCCTTCCTTCTGATGTGCTTGCCTCAATCTATATCGCGAAAATGATTCAGCCGTTCCTCGTCGACCAGAAATCGTTTTACAGACACCGCGAGCTTGTAGAAACCTCTGCTTCAAGTAAAGCCCACAGAAGGAGATAATAACGAAGAAATATTTCATTGCACATGTACCAAATCAAGTTGGGTTTTGTTTCGAAAAACATCATGAAGTTTTCGCGGCAATCCACGAAAATATCAACGAACAGCAAGAGACAGGCTTCACTAACATTATCATGCGGAAAGAGATGGAGGTTGATAACGGCCTGCTTATTATGCCTATCCTATGGTGGGTTTCAACTTGCCGTTCCAAGCGTTTCCTAAGAACATGCCGATGCTCGGTTGATCCGGTGAAACCCTCAATCGTACTAAAATAGGGTCTCCTTACCCGTGTGACGCATTCATGCATTGGTATCAGGTATCAAGCACGGCTTGATGGAACGGAAACTGGAAAGCGAGCCAGGGAGCGGGAATTAGGTGAGCATGTGCATGCAGGTAGACGAGCCGCCGATAGGCTCTCCAGAGTAGACTTGATTTGGAAAGCTAATATGAGGCCGCAGTTACCGCACTTGTGAGTTGTCAGCGATCTCCATATCGATGACTGCTCTCGTATCCCCGCGTCGTTCGAATACCCAATGCTCCGCTTCATATGCCATGGTCGACCTCACTTGAGCAGGTGATGATGAGGACGCCATTGCGTTCAACAAGCACGACTGCACGTACGCCATCCCCAATGCCAAAGTGGCTCGAAAACAACGACATGACTCGACGATCGAGGGCAACGTCGTCAAAGTCACGCATCTTCAGTTCGGCCGTACGGGCAACCGCTTCATGGCCGTGTATCGAAACTTAGCCCTCGGATACTGTTGCAAAGCTAAGCAGGTAAAATAGCGGTACTGGATGCATGAATACTCGCGTAGCACTAGCTTTCGCCCTAGGTCAATTGGTCTCCCTAGCGGTGATGGCGGAGACGCCGCATGCAATGGCACTTCTGGTCGCCCTGCCCCCCCTGTCGCATTAGGTTTCCAGTGAAGATAACCGACTTCACGCACAAACTCTTTGAAATCAGTGCATGCGATGTATCTGTGCGCGCGCGGAACCGTGTGATTCATTGTAGGTGTGGCTACCTCCGAAGGACGACGTACTCGCGCCTGGAATTTTCAACGAGGGAACTCCCGGCCCACGCTGGTTCGATTTTTCCAGCGCTCCGGATGTGGACGGTGTTGACTTGGGCAGGTGTCCAATTGACATTATATGGGAAAACCGAGGGGCAATGCAGATGGCAGGATGTGAGTGATCCGTCAAGCTAAGCACGGCCGTAACACGGAGAATATGAGCTGCAATTGTGTGACCTGTTCAGAAGCCCTCCTTTGTTGTTGAGCTTCTCGCCTTTTTGGCCGATTTCTGATCCAATCAAGCTCGCAAAACCCAAGCCTTTGTTGCTCTATATCGTGCCTCCCCCACCGCAATGCATGCGTGCAAACAACAGTGGACAACCCGGAGCGGAACAAGTATCTCCCGCACATTCGAGATTGTATGGCCAAGGCGCCGCGCCTACTAGGCTGCGAGGCCGCCTACTACTTTCCGCAGGACATCGCCGTGTGCCCAAGAAAGAAAAAACCATTTTTGGCCCTTGGGGATCGAAACCCACCTGGTGGGGCGGGAAACCTGGTGCTTCACGTGCGGTCTGGCGACATCTTTTTCGACCGAGTCGTCCCTTACAAGGGTCAGGTAAAACCAAGCCTTTATTGCCAGCTTATCCAACTCCGATTTGTGCTTTTTGGCATTCGTTGATTAGTTGAGCTCGTGATGTCGGTTGGGCCCTCGTTCCATATCGCGGGTCAACGTCTTCGCTGAACGTGCCCCCCGCCGCCCTTCAACCGGTCCGCTTATACCGAGTCTTTCCTGTGTGTAACGCCACCTTCTGATGTCTCGACTCCCTTGTGTCGTACTGAACAACAACCAAACAGCCCCCGCTGCAGTTCTACTTGCTGCTGATGCAAGACCAACCGTGGGACCGCATTGACGTTGTTACTAACGGGCAAAACTGGGACAATGTGAACCCCGTCGTGCCCGCTCTCATGGCCATGCGAGCAACGGGCGCGTTGCCGGACAACGTTTACTTCCACACGGTGAATGTATTAAGTGGTACTGCTGTCGTACATTCCTCTGCTGGTGTTGTCTTGTTTGGGGTGCGTTGTTTTGGCTTGAAGGGTGAACAGCATGCCGCAATAGCGATCATGGGTATGCTTCCAGGAAGGTGCCGTCTTCACGAAAGTACAAGGTGGACCGTCTTGATCACTATTTTCCAATTGTATGCCGACCGTATGTTCTCTCCATGGGGCAGGGTTTGGCTTTGCGACGGGCGCATCGCCGATTGTTCTGGTAAGTCCTCATGTTTGCGCGCCCGCTTTCTTCCGAGCTCGACTTGAGAACAATGCTTATCGTATGCGTATATTACGGTATGTGCACGATTTGTCCATCGGTTTCACTCAGGAACGATCGATGGGCGAGGACCTCCAGAGCATGCTTTGCGCCGATTCTCTTGGCTTGGCCAAATCTAGCCTGGTAAACTTCCTCAGCTACCACTCAACCGCGAATCGGGTGTACTACCCGTGGCGGTGTAACCACGACCTCAGAGAGCTGGCCCGGCTTAGACCAAAGACCAAGGTATGGGTCCTTTCTCGCCCTTTCATAGCCGGACGAGGGTTGACACAATGCGTTTTCCCGGAATGAGTGAAATTCGAAAAATATTCACTTCTATGTCTGTTCGCCTAATGTGTACCAGATGTATCTAGGTATTATCTGTTTCTGTCCCAGAGCCAAACGGGAGTGGTTCACTACCCGCGTTCGCGCTGTGTTTGGAGTCCACTCACGGCATCCTCTCCGATACTACGGCACTCAAATAATGTATCAGGCACCTACCCAATTCATTGGCGACCTACTTCTCTCGAGTTTATCCAGAAGCGTTCAGACCCATGTTTATGGTCGCCAAATCTTTGAAAAAAATCTTCAAATGTTGTCAAACATTTGCGCGCGAATAGCTGCCAGAGGAACATTTGAGTACCGTTTTTATGGGCAACAAAATCTTTATCGTGTGGTTTTCTCGAAATGCATCGCATGTGCGGCGGGAATCGTGGTCTACTGCTACCAAACGATTTGTGACAGACAAACCACAAATGCGTCATGGAAACTGAACGTAACAAGGTCGCAAAGGGCTCCCCACAACCCTTGATGCACTGAGCTGATGCTGTGCCCGCCAATATGTAGCGATAGCGCTCCGGGCGTGCGAGCAAAATGTTCTCGGTGTCAAGAAAGAGACCAAAACGTGCGTCAGCGCTTTCCAACGGCAAAAAGTCGGCCGCTTGAGAGGACACGTGAGTACAAAACTATCCAGCTCTCGTCCTCTAGACCATCGATTCATGTTTTGTCTTCTTGGGTGTCTTCTCCATCAACGAATCTCATCCGGTTATTCGTGGGTTGGCAGTGGCCGCGCTCAGCCGGCAGGGAGGCACATCGTTGTGCGCGCAAAGTTGTGGACACAACGTTTTTTTCGGTCTATTTTTTCACTTGAATATAGAGGGCTTGTTCCTCCGTCCCAAAAAAGACTTTTTCAACACATCGAGTTCACAGCGACGCGCCTCCCTGCCTGTTGAGTACGTCCACTGCTGAACCACGCACACCCGGATGAGAGCCGTTGATGGAGAAGACACCCAAGAAAACAAAACATGAAGCGATGGTCTAGAGGACGAGAGCTGGATAGTTTTGTACTCACCTCTCCTCTCAAGCAGCCGACTTTTTGCCGTTCGGAGACACAAACCACGCTTTCTCCGTGCCCTCCAAACCACCCCTGTCTGTTTTTTTTTTTTGTGCACGCTTGACGAGCTCCCGCCATGTATCAGCCGGCAAAACATTGACACGGTGACTCTAGGATTGTCCGGATCCCTCTATGAGCTTGCTACGTTGAGTGTGCGCTAGGCAGTGGTTGGTGTTTAGGACGGAAGGGGCGGTCGTTTACTAATCCCGCCGCTCTTGGGAAACATTTTCGCGACCTGCCCCATTTCAAAATGTTTGAGAATATTTTGCCAAACGAGCGGCTTTTGCCCCATTTCAAAATGTTTGAGAATATTTTGGCGAAGATTTTCTCCCATAAACAGTGAAACAAAATCTTTGTCCGCAAATGTTTGAAAATATAAACATTTTGGCAAAGATTTGGCGACCATAAACATGGGTCTCAGTGAGAGAAGCTTTATCGGAAGGAAGTTATCATACATGTACCACAGCCCTTGACGTAAGACTCATTTTGGTAGGAAAGCGTCCCCTCCAACATGACCGTTTCACTAGGTTGTTCGCATGTATCCACGCGTATGTATATGACAATCTCGAAGTTGACCTTCGAATGAACGTGGAGGCATGTGCAACACACATGAACCAGACCCAGGAGGGGGCCGAAACACCCCCCGCCTTTTTTGACGTGCAACCATTGCACCTGAATTCTCTGCATCAGGTGTACGGGCTACAGCTGGATAGGAGCGGCTCGTACAGTGTCTATCGACATTGGGAGAACACACCTGAGCAGCGAGCGGAGATGCTGGGGTATAACGTCACAACTACGTTCCAGCGGTGCATATAAGCCAGCGGAGTCGAAGCCAAATGGTTTCACTGCGGCGGGGATCACGAGTGTGGACATTTGTTTGCTGTGTGGTGCCAGTAGTGGTTTGTCTTTATTTAGCATGTCTTTTTTGGGGAAGGTGTTGCGAATGTCGGTGATGATGATGCTGTGCCGCGTGAAATAATTGCACATTTTGACAGGTGAACAGTTCGCCGTGCCTTTCGGGAGTGAATTTCAGCACTCGGCTTGCGAGCTGTGGTGGCCATCATTCGAGGCATCGATTACAGGCCCACATCATTAAACAATAAGTGCAGATCCATGAATTCGCAGATGGCCACGTTCATGGGGCTGCCGTATGCACACGTGCTTATATGGTGCTTATCATTCACAAGGCGGGGGCAGGTTTCGGCAACAAGAGTGAAACGGGCGTCGGTGTGACTCTTTGCGCAGAGGTGGGGTTGTATGTGACATATTACAACCTACCCCGTTTTATTCGTCACATATAGACAATTGTGCCCAGGCGACCCTCAGAGCTTCCCCCCTTTCAACCAAGCGTTTGCGTGCCCTCCCGGGAAGCACCCTCGGCGGCACTCTGTTTTGAACCTCTAGAGCACTGCTCAAGCAACATTATTTTGTGCTTGATAGCATGGCTGCACCTCGATTCTCCAAGGTTAGGGCGTTATGCACCAACTGGCATCCCTTCGTTGTTTTTCATATATATTGGCGCGGTGAAACCGATTGGATCAATCCGTGCTCCCTACACCGCGTGGAAACAGTTGCTGAGAGGGCACAAACAATTCTATGTATGTGCATATGTATGTATTTTTTTTCCTAGTAATGTTAAGGAGGACCCGATTCGCAGGGTATCCGTCGATTGACTTTTACCAGAATCGGTACACCTTCGCACATGGCGTCAGCGGCAGGATACTGGTTCGAATCTCCTTGGGTGCACGTTTTTTCTCCTGACTTGGACATTTTCCCATGGACACCATGTGTGTCAGTCCTGAGAACACCTCTTGGAATCGATCCTATAAAGAACCTTGTGACACTTCCATCGAATTACCCGTCCTGGCCACAAGAGGTTCCCAGTTGAGGGTAAATTCTGTGGGTGGAGAGTGTTGAGGAGGACCCGATTCGCAGGGTATCCGTCGATTGACTTTTACCAGAGGCTAGCGTTTCATCCAAGTGGGCGTCTAGCGGTAAAAACAGTAACCAGCGGGAACGATCTGCATGAACGCACACATTACGTGGCTGTGGCCGCGTGCACAGCATGCCAATCTATGTCGCAAGCGTCCATCCTTCTTCTGTTGATCAGACTGCCAGGATGCAAACGCTTTGGAATGAAACATTCGAAAGAGTGAACTATATATAGCTACGTATGTATGTAAGATTTCACAACTCCTTTGCAATTTCCAAGCTCGTTTCTCCACGGCAAATATAGCGGCGATTCCGAAAATGGAACGATCTTGTCGCGAGCGTTCTGAGAACTTGTTGCTATCCATCCTCTTCGTCCTGGAGTACAAGTAGTCGCTCTGAAGATCGGTTCAGGGTGTGTGATATCTTGCGTTAGTTCGGTAGGTTCAACATGGGGGAAGCAGTAGTATGTCGTCTTTACGTCTTCGTGGGTGCACGCTGCTGCTGCCGCGGTCCGCTTCTGTCGGGGTAGAACGTTCCTCATCGCCTTTGATACGATTATTGTACTCGAAAGATTTTCAACTAGATGCATTTTCCAATGGTTACAACACCACTGCTCTGCTGCTGCCTGTGCGCTGTGCGTTGTTCGAAGTTTTATTTCGACTGTGGGTATATCTCGAATGGGTAGTCTTTCTGTGTGTGTTTTTATTATTCCTTAATTTTTATTTTTTAGTGGGTGGGGCACACCCAATAAGAATTACGATGTGCGGCGCCCCCGCTGGTCAAACGCGGCGGGATCGTCTGTCATGCCGCACAGCACAACACAGTAGCGGTCCCCTGCACTGCTACATCATATAGATGCTTTCCAGGGCGAGGCAACGGTTCCTGTCAGCAACGACCCGATGCCCGAAGCAGCGGGCTGCATGGAGTACCTCGAATCGACCGCCACAGCCAACGAGATGTATCAACAGCAGCAGCAGTCGGAGTAGCAGCAGGAACGGGGCAGAGGGAGGCGGAGGACGAGGAGGAGGAGGAGGAGGAGGAGGAGGAGGAGGAGGAGGAGGAGGTGCAGGGTGGGGACATTATCGCCAGAGTGAGCATGCAGGTGGAAGCGGATGGAGCCAGAACTCGACTTCCGGCTTCCTAAGGTACGCGTGTTTGCCTCCTGTTGTCTCTTGGTATTGTCGTGCCGCTGGGTGGGGTCGAAACATACCAAGAGTCGTCGTTTGTTCTGGGTGTTGCACTGCTGTATGCACACAAGACCATCCGTGTTGACTTCCGCGATCAGCTCGGCGGATTTGTGTCTCTCCGCGCTGAAGCACGCACGCAGCAGCTCGACCGAGAAGCAGGCTCCCGGCTTACGCACTGGGTGAGATGAGTATTAGCTGGTACTGACTTGGAATTTTGAAGAATCCCATTTGCGCCGCTCACCTGAAAAGAGACAGCAGTGTACTGCATACAACAGCAGCAAACCGCCGTTGTCGGTGGTTGACGCCTGTTAGACGACTGGAAATTGGTGTACAGAACTCATCCAGTGTTTAATTTCTAAAGATATCAATATCATTATTGCCTCGACACCTTCTACCCGGTAAGAACATCCTCTGCTGCCCTGCATCCTCGTTTCTCATCTCCGTAAGGTCAACTCGGAGTAGCAGGTTCCGCGACCAAGTCCCCCTGCCATGGCTAGCGTTGGTCCTCTTTCAGGCCGTGGAGTTTGGGCTCGCCGCGTACGAGGTGGAGACGGAAAAGTTGGACGAACTTGTTCAGCGGTGAGAGGTTGCACATGGTGAACCGTGTATTTGCCTAGCATACGTCTGTGCTTGTACGCTCAGTACGATATCGACCACTGCTTTTGCTATACTTGTGTCGTGCTCTGCCTTGTGGCTGTAGCTCCTCCCCTTGTAAATAGTGTAATAGCCCCCGTGACCGATGGCGAACAGTATATGAAGCAGTGGGGGTCTTGGTGACCATGCCCGCAAACTGCGTGCAGTTGGCACGATGGAAAAATCGAAATAATCACTTGTATGGCGTCTCTCTTGATGGGTTATAGAATGGTAGGACGTGGGCGGCAAGATGAATTCTGGCTGTGTGTCGCTAGTGCTCTCGATACTAGCCCAACATGTTTTAGGGACGCGGCAAAAAGCCGTGTTTGAGCTTAGATCACGGCAAGTCTTGTAGGAAAGATGACCAAGGCCGTCGCGGAGTCAAGCATTGTAGAGGAAACCGAGGAACGACTTGTGTCGGTTCTCGCACACGCTCTTGTCGCACGTTGCCGCCCAGTTCTCCGAGGTGGACACACGCCCGCTGCTTCCAGCCGGACGTAGCATAGAACTGAAAGAAAGAAGTTGCCCCTGTGCGTCGGCGCACCGCAAGTTAGTTGGCCACCCGGAGATGACGTCGCCTTTTGAGCATTTGACGACCATGATCTCTCTGCGGCGGACGAACTCGAAATTGCCAGCGGGTGCTGGGAGGTGTACGCACGCGAACGCGTGTTGCTTGGCGCAGACACCCTATGTAAGAAACGGCAAGCGCTGACCCTGCGTATCAACGAATCCCACCCCGGTCTGCTTCTCGAGAACTAGTGCGCATCGCATCGCCCATGTCCACTGTTGTCAGATCCGCTTGTTAAGTTTACCTGCTAACCGTTTTTCAATCCTCGTTGAACCTGTCGCGAATTCCGCGGTTGCTGTCCAGGTGCAACTTCCACATCGCGACGGCTACCGTCGGAGAGGCGGTAAACCTGACTTCCCTCCAAGAGCTCCTTGACTTGGTAAGAACTACCCTTTGACGACTTTTGGCTTGGACTGGAGGCCGCTCGACTTGATTTTTTGGTTCTCTTCAAGCCGTCGGCACCATTTTTATCACGCCCTTGTCTTGCTGGGACAGCGGAGAAAGAAAAGAGCATGAAAAACAAGGTGTTTTCTGCCCATGTTGTTCGGTGTCGGTGTCGTTGGACTTTAGTTCGTTTCTCCGCAAGCTGTTCGTACGCTTTTTCAACCATGCCCTTTTCTTGTTGGTATAGCAAAGAACGTACGCAAAGCGTGTTTTCTGTCTACATACATCGTTCGATGTCCTTGTCGGGTCGGATTCACCGATTGTGTTTTCTCAGAACAGAGGACGACGCGCCCCGTTGGATTCGGGATGACCAGATTCCTGTGTCCCCGGCTGTTCGTGCTATGCATACAACATTTTTTATCAACCGCTTCCGTAGGAGGATGGAAAATCTCGCGACGGAACCGGGCGCGTCTAGCAGATGACGGAAATATACCAGATGCATCAAATCCCTGTCCCACATCTCGCGTGAATGCCCGCCGTACAACATGGTTCCTGTTGACCAGCGTCCTCCTGCTTTGTGTAATGCGATTGGTTGTTGCTCGATTGTATTTTTGCACGAAAGGTGCACCACTCGGTCCTCGCCGTAGGCCCCACCGCTCTGCCGAAGCTGCTGGACGCGGGCGTCATCGGGATCGCCCTGAGGGGTGCCGAGTCTCCGAACACACACGTAAGCAAGGGGTGCGAGTGAGAGAGCCTATCCTCGTTGGGCATTAGGTGGGTCTGACCGTGCGTTTCACGTACCCCCCCCCTTCCAACGGTTGGGAGCATGCATCGCTTGTCGAGACGCTCGTTCAAAACCGTGGTCTCGCCTTGAAGGGGGGCCACATTCGCGAAATATTTATGTTTTTTTCTTTTTTCTTTTTTTTTGTCTTCACTTCAAATCAGCGCTCACAGCACTAGTGCCGTTTACTCCAACCCGTGGTCACAAAGAAGAACCCCTCTCTACCCTCCCCTCCTGCGGTACTTTGACTTGATTTTTAATGCGAGAAGAGTTCAGCACTCTCTTCCCTCTGTGAACACACGAGCTAGCGCTATCCACTAGGCCAGGAGGAAGCGAGAGAAAAACTCACTTTGCAAGAAAAGCTCGCTTACGCCGGGATCCGAACCCCTGACCTGACCTCTAGAAGGTTTCGAGGATACCAACTAGACAACCGGGGCTGGAGGTTTATCAATCACCAATGGCGTCGTAGGCGCAGGCGTTCGCGTCGTACATGGCCGTGCGAAGTCAGCGAAGCACCAACGTACTCCCGCGTTGGAGCCGGGTTCGTCGCATGATGGGTGGAATTTTGGGGGGACTTGACAGTGCGATTTTTTTTGTGCCTTGTCCTCGCAATTTTTGCCCTGCGTCCTCATGAACGGCATGCCATTGCCCTGCCACCGTCCGTATCGCGCACAGCGGCTGCATGAAGAAATAACGTGGCGGTTCGGCTGCTGTACAACTTCCTCGCATAGCTCAATCAGCCTCCTGCGCCGTTTTTGAAACCGCCGCCACGGGCGCGACCCCGCACCCAGGTCGCAGCGGTGTGCTACAGGATCCTGACCGTGCTGTCCCAGAACAAGCACGTCGCGCGAAGGATGTCGAGAGACCCGGTCATCAGAGCCGTGCTCGTCGGCGAGCTGCGTCGGCAGGTGAAGGGCTGGAACCACGCCGGATCGGGAGCAGATGATGATCATGAGGCCGAGGGCGAGAAGCAGCAGCGGCGGGATGGGCTGGCGGACGGAGGAGAGGGGGCAACGGCAGCGGCGAGGCCACCGCCGGCGACGATCGTGGTGGACCCGATCCACCTCACGCTCACGCTCGAGACGCTCAGCAACGTCATGCGCGCATCGCGGCGGGACATCAACAGCAGCAGGAGAAGAAGCACAGCGGAAGAGCCGGAAGCGGCGGGATTGAATTGGAGATTCGGAGCAGGGGTCGGTAGTGGCGGGCGGACAGCAGTAGCGGGAGAGGACGAGGAGGATGAGGTCCCGTGGCCTTTCCGCTTCCTGTACGGGGAGAACAACTACGAGGGAGCAGCGGGCTATGCGCACGACGGGGGGAATGAAGATGATGACACCATCACCCCTAGCGTAGGGGGGGTCGTCTCCGGTCCTTGGCCGCTGGATCGCAAGCTCGTGGCGGATATTGCGGAGCTGATGCTGAGCGCCGCGAGCGCGAGAGATAGCGAAGGGGTGAGTCTGAGTCTGGGACCAGGAGAACTATTGAGACGTGGATCTGGTGTTAGAGTAAGAGAGACCGGAACATATATTTTTTTGAGAGCTGCTCATGGCGCACTTGACTCAGGGCCTTGTTGGGTTCTAACGAGTGAATAGCACGCTGGCCCACGAACGACAGAAGGGGGATCACCCTTCTACAAACACATGATGCACGAAACCCCTACTGTAGATCTCCGCAGATCCGTACAACATCTAGTGCTGATTATAAACCTAACACACAGATGTGACTCTACGGACGACTTTCACGTGATCCAGGGGTTGACTATCATCGATGAGGCAGAAAGGGCCGTTGCCCGCATGGAGTGAAACAGCCTGGCGCAAGCCGGCGCCGAGTAGGGCAGTAGGCCTTGGCCTTGCTACCGTTTCGTTTTTGGAGCTACGCGGCGCTGTCGTGAGAACGTACGCGCGTTATGAAGCAGAGACCAAAGGCACATGTTTCCTGATGCTTGTAGGGCGTTGGTGTATTCCCCCCCCGAGAAAATGTTATTGTTTTTGTGCCTGCCCAATATCTGGGACCTTTGACAAGACGTGTTGTGGTTTATATCACCAGTAGACATTGAATGGAGCCACTGAAGCAGCAGCGTTCCCTCTAAGTTCTAGAGGGCATCGCTTTGCTGTTCTCTTTTGCTGTTCCCGTTACTGACCAAGGTTGGAACGGTTCCTGTATTGCCCCCTCCCTCCGTCCCTCTCCCGTGCCATGCATGCAATCGACCACCACACCAAAGGCGGTGGCGCGCGGAGAAGACGCGGAGCTAGGAGAAGTCCTGGAGGCGGCGGCGGCGTCCAGCCTCCGAGAGATCAGCCACCACTCGGAGCTGGTGGGGCTGTTGCTTCGAAGGTGGGGGAGCCGCGACGGCGTGCGGTGCAACTTGCCGCATACCCCATGCTGACGTATGTGTCTCGTTGGTTACCCGGTTCGCGCGGTCGATGATAGTCAAAGTAGCACAAACACACACACGGAAGGAGAGCAACCCAATCATGCTAGCATGGGAGGAGTAGGTGGTGCAGCTGCTATCCTCCTTGGTGGTACGGAGGCTTCTCCCTTGTACTTTAGAAGCAGGAAACTATCGCCCCACCCGCTGTCGGTATAACCCTTTGAATGGGAAGCGTGTTCACGGTATTTTTTTGGTACACGACTGACGTCTTTTCATTGGTCAACGGGTTAGCGGGGTCAATTCAAGAAGCACACGCACACACCACGCTTTCACACTGCTTCGCATGAACAGCAGTTACGCAGAGGCGCCATTGCTTTGGGGCGTCTCCCGTAGCTTTGGTCCAGCTCCAGCTCCGACAACAGACCAGCATTCTCTCTTGGCGAGTTGCCGGGGAAGCCGGTCGTACAGAAAGCCCGCGCTCGCGGCCACGATAGCGCCCATCCTCACTACCGCAATACAAACCCTTCGGTTTCGCGTGTCCAAACCAAAGCGCGTAGTTTCGGGCCCCGCTAGTGAATCGTGATGTTGGGGGGGTCGTTTCAGATTGTAGAGGAGCAGTGAACTAGAATTCTGGCTTGCACGAGGTGTTAGGCTGAGTCTTACGGCGTGATTATTTCCGGGTTGGATTTGAGGGGGGGGTCCTTTTCTGAGCCAAAAATATAATTTGGGCGTCTTACGGGTAGGAAAATGGCAATTTCCAACAGCCCAAAATCCAACAGCGCAGTTTCCAACAGCAATTCCGGCCGGCCGGTTAGAAAATTGGCCCATTTTCCAACAGCGATCCTGTTGGAATATCGCTGTTAGAAATGGGGGGGGGGGTACCCCTTGGTCACACCCCGATCGTGCCAGAACGAGGAACTACACCATCTGCTGGCCAAACAGAGGCCAGTATCATGAGGTCATGCACAAACCCTCTGCAGGTACCTAAAGTTCAGGGCGTTCTGCGTCGTGTTGGCCGCACACGAGCCGAAAACGTCAACCCTGCCACATTGCTCTGCTGACGTTCTTGCCTTTGGGCCGAAAAGAGCCGTTTTTGCGCCTGCTGCATGTGTGACCAGTTAAAAACGCATGCCAGAGAGAGGCCTTAAGCCGTCGACATCCACAAACTGCAGCCAGTGGCGTGTGTTCATACCCATACCCTCTGCTCGCGTACCAGAAACAGAGCGTGTTGTCCAGTTTTGATTGCACACGGCCTGCAAACGTGAATCGAGGTGTGGTTCGGTGCTGCCTTTTTTGGACGTTGCTTTTTTTTTCTGCCGCTTGCTCCGAGTCGAGTGTGATCAGTGTACAACGCATGCCATCAGAGAGTGGCCTTTGGCCGACGACGTCCACAAACTGCAGCCACTGGCGTGCGATGATACACATGCCCTCTGCAGGCGACCCATCAACAGGGCGCTCGGTGTCTTGTTGGTCACACACGAGCCAAAACCGTGTACTGGAGCATGTTGTGACTCACAAGAACATGAATCAGCCTCTTTTTTCCCTTCAGAAAAAGTATACCTCGAGGAAACGTAAGACGGTCCTTTGGATCTTGATAATTTTTTCCGTGCAGGCCACTCCCCCCCGACCGAGAGAAAAAAAAAATCTCCGAAATAATCACGCCGTAAGACTCAGCCTTATGGAGTGAAAGTCGGGTTTGTAAAAGGGAGTGAAGTGTTTTTAGGATGTGAAATGGAGTGAAACGTTTTTAGGATGTGAAAGGGAGTGAAATGTTTCAAGGATGTGAAAATGAGTGAAAAGTGTTTAGGATGTGGAAAGGAGTGAACGTGTTTGGGTTGTGAAAGGGAATGAAACTGCCTGAAATATTTACGGGGAGCGTCAACGTTATTAGTAAGCAGCTATTTGCTGAAACAATTTCTTGGACAGGGTCGTGCCATACGTGTGCGACACTTACTGCAGTGAGATGGGGCGTGGCGTAGAGAACGACAACACGTTGGTGAAGGGTTTTGCGAGTAAGTGTTGCCGAACTTATTCCACTTTTGCTTGCATCGTGCACTCTACCTTACACGATCCGTCTGTTTCAAGATGAGCCGCCAGTCCTTCTGTCGTGTAGAAGACGGTTGTCGTAATTACGCGGGTACTATTTAGCTTTCTACGATAACAATTCACGAAGGTTGTGTTTCGCTCGGGATATCTGCTATCTCGTTGTCGTTTCGTGACTAAAATTTCTATCGTACTGTCAAGATGATCGACTTTTTTCATGTTGTCTGAAGTGATCCACCAGGCTGTTTTCTATTGCGCCTGCCAGATCAGCGGGGTGGGGTGATTTCTCACTTGTCAGATGTATCCGTTTGTCGTAGATGACTCAACGTCACCCAGGACCGGCATTCACTAAGAACAGCTCTTGCCCGTTACGCAGCCGACAACGGATGCTCGACGCTTGTCCCTATTTTCTCCCGCTACCGCCGCCGGCGCCACCCTGACCATGCTTGCAGGAGGCCCCTTGTGGGTCTTGTTGCCGTGAGCCAGGACTCGATGATGGCGGCACAGGCTTCCTCCGAGGCTACCCTCAACATTTGCAATGCTTATCGCAGGTTCGTGTTCCCGGGGCTAGTGAAAAAGAGAGCGGCATGTCTGATGTAGTGCTCATCGTTATCTGCAATGAGAAGGCCCGCCCGGCTTCTGTTTTGTTTGTGTAGTCTCGTTTCCTAGCCAACCTACCGCATGTCCCGGTGCATACCTCCCAAGTTTGTCGCACCCGCCTGTCTGGAGGAGACCCCGTGCACATCGCCGAGATGTTTGTTGTTGTTTTTTCGCGTTTTTTCTGTTCGCCGTTTTTTTGTGTGTTGCGATGGAATCGTTTCGGTCTAAGTGAGCAGGCGACTTTTGCCTGTCAACGGTACGCCCGCAGGGAAACGAGTGGCCGAGTTGTCTTTCTTTTTTGTTTCCATGCCCCACGCGCGCCCCTTTACGCCGTTGTTCGTGGCAATCCGAACGCAGATGATTGCTCGTGTGCTGGAACGAATTATCCCATGGCCTAACCTCCCGGCCACTTTCCTCCCCCCTGGCCTCGGTCGCTTGACAAACTAATTGTCGGCCTGCTCTTTTTCTTGTCCGTGTTGCGTTGCCAACGTGATTGACGTCCATACTAAGATGTCACGGTCTGCCAGAGGCTTCCGAGCCAAAGGCTTCCTACGACGAGGTTATCACATGGGTTAACAAGACCCTTGCCCAGGAGTGGGCCGGAAGCCCGTCTGGTGACCTTGACACCAGCGAGGCTGACCAGGCGTTTGTTCGGCAGGTATGATAGGCGGGACCGTGAAAAGTGGGGCCAAGAGAGGAATAAAACACAGATAGAAAACGGAGAAGGAGAGGCAGGGAGATGAAAGAAAAGAGACAGACAAAAGAGACAAGAGAGAAAAGAGAGGCAGGGGGATGAAAGAGAGGCAGACAGAGACATAGATAGCATATCGTGTTGTGTGCTGCTGGTGTGGCTGGCCGTTTTGCTCCAGTTGGTTGTGCTGCACCGCTATTTGTTTGTTGCGGATTTGCTTTTTCTCAAACGAGTCGAGTCCCCTTTGGCCTTGCATTCTTGCGCCTTGCCCTAGAGTTGAGGAGGAGAATGAGGGCGGGCCACGTCTTCGTCACTTCGGCACTGCTAGAATCTCACTTGTAGAAGCTAAGGGGTTAAGGCAGTGGGATTGTGGGTGTGCTACCCTGCACGCACGTGCGTTCGTGCGCGCTTGTCGTTGGCTCGCCTGCCCCGACTGAGTTTCCGAACGCCCAGCCGCATGTCGGTTTTGTGGGCATCCCCACCCTTGCCTTTCTCCGTCTCTCGCCCAGCTCACCTTATTTCGTTCGTGAATCTCCCCCGCTGTTTTTTTTTTAGTGACCAACAACAAAAACAACTCCCACCACCGGTGTGAGGTCTACTATGGTCTAACGACCACGGCATATATATGCGTATACATGAGCGCACCCTCCCTACCACCGGCCGCCTGGCCTAGCTTTGTTAACCGGTTGCCGTCGTGCTGTACACAGGCGGAGCGGTCGACCCTTCCCCCTTCGCCGTACTCGAGCGTCCTCATCAACATGCAGATGTCGACGGGCGTGGGCATGGCGCTCGGAGTTCCTTGGGGAGCCGGTAAGTCCCGGGAGCCATGTTTTTTCGTTTTTGTTTTTTCGCTCGCTAAGTGTTGTCGCCGCGAGGTCTTGTCCGAACTGTTCGTTGGAAAATTGAGATGTTTTTTGCTCAAGCGCTGGAAGAAGCAAACCGAGGTGACCATGTTCGACCCAGGGGCCTCGGTTAGGTATTCGTGAGGAATTTGGCGAGAACACACGAAGCTCGGGACGTCGTTTGGCACACAGTCACCTGCATGAAGCTCTCCGTCCACCAAAATCAAAAGTGCAGAATGTTTTCTTGTGCTTGGTCTCGTCCTGCCCTGCGGCCCGTGCTACTGCTGCTGCTGCTCTTGGCTTGCTGTCTTGACTACTACGTTCATCGCAGCGCTTCCATATCGGTATGGTTTTGCGTTGTTGTCAGCGAAGTCTCCGTCGGTTTTTTGGCACTGATAGTTCGCTGTTGCATATCCTGGAAAGCAGCTGGGGGCACCCTTTTGCACTGCTGGTGTTTCCGTATTCAGTATTTCGCTTCATTCATGGCGCGAATTTTAGACCTCCCCTCCCCCGATGTCATACGCAGCTGTCATCCGACGCAAGGAAGTAAGTACAAGATGCCGAACACCCTTAGCAGGATGCAGCACACCCTTCATGCGACTCGCCGAATACCTCACGGCGCTTCGCGCTTGGTGATGTGAGAGCCTGGTCCGGTGAGAACCCGGCGTGCTCCGTCCCGGCTTTGTAGGGATGCGAGGCCAATGGTCTAACGACTACGGCATGCACGACTATGAGTACACGACGATGAGTACACCCCCCCCCCCTCCCCCGATGTCCCTCCTTTTTTTCCGCGTGCCTCCCCCCCCCCCCCCCGGTCATTGGCGCTAAAAAAAACAACAAACAGCCCGCCGCTGGATCGCCTGGCGAAGAGCCGGAGAAACATTCTCCGCCCTCTCCAGGTTGTCTCTCCCGAGGGCTCTGCTGCTCGCCGGTCTTAGGGCGGGGCTGGGCACCACGGCTCTCGTTGCCACGCACGGGCCGGCGGGCTTCCGCCCTCAGGCTAGGCCGTGGATTCTGGACGCCACGAGCGGGAGTCGAGGGACCCTGGCCATGAGCGCTGCCCGAGAGGTATCGGAGCTCGGTGAGTGGAACAGGGGGGAGGGGAGAAGACGGAGGGGGCGGGGGGTTGGCGAGGTTGCCGAAGGGATTCCTTGACTACTACTACCTTCTCCGCTTTTTGTGCCGGGCGTGCGTTTTGGTGTCTTTGCGGGAGGGCTCTCCGATCTCCCCCCTCTACCTTTTCTTGTGCAGGCCTGATGCACACCGCGTGTGTGCGCATGTCGTTGCGCCTTATGTATGTGCGTTTGCGCGCGGTGTTTCTCTGGTTTGCCTTCAAGTACTCCTTTTCTTTTTTTGCGCAGGTCTGATGGGCGCCGCGTGTGTGCGCATGTCACTGCACTTCGTGTACGTAAGTTTTCGCACAGCAGTGTTTTCTCTGTTTTGCCTTCCAGTTCTGAATTCCAGCCCCCGCCAAATTTGCCATCGCACGTGCAAGTCCCTGCGCCAAACAGCGATAAAGAGGCGCTGTGTACGATGAGGCCCCATATGCTGTCACATGAAAGAACAGTTTTGCAGGTAAATGAACGGCTGCTCTCTTTATGCCGTCGCTTTCTTCTTCTACGCCCCGCTCCCGCTTGGTTTCATCCGCACGTACGTTTCGCCCAGCCTACCTGTACGCGATCCTACGCCTGTGCCCGTACTCCCTCCTGCCATCGCTGGTGGTGAGCGCCGTGGTGTGGAATGGCCACCGTTACGGTGGCGTTGTGGACGACTGGGGCGCGTAGTTTGGATAGCCCCGAGGTTCAATGTGCACCCGCCACCGTAAAATGTGGCGCTGTGTTACGGCAGTCGCCAGAGAGAGGTGGAGAGAGGACTCCAAGTCGTCGCAAGAAGTTCCGTTGAGGCGTGGGAACGCTGGCGCGGTGAATGGTGTCAAATAAGAAATGCATGGTTTGGTGGAATTGAACGAATTTGGATTTTTGGAAGGTTCACGGATTGGTGGTGAAGCCTGGCAGGCCCCGATGTCCTTCCTCTACAGTCTATTGCGCTTTCTCCCTGGCATTTCCGCCGGGAGTACTCACGCTTGTTGTGTGACAATGAGGTAGGTCTGCATGCTACGCTCATTGCACTCATGTTTGCGGTGTTGGTCTAGATAGCGGTGATTTTGTGTGGTACGTTGGGGGGTATCTATCGTCGGGAGCTAAACCGATCGGTCGTGTCCCCTCGGTGATGGTGTTGACATACATGCAGGGGGCGGGCGTTTTAATGACCTATACTCCCGCCTTCGAAGCTGAGAAAGGAATCAATTGTTTTTCGTCTGTGGTTTGCCGTGTTAGAGTTTCGCATTTTGGTGCTGTTGTTAGATCCCTTTTATTTGGTTGATTCCTGGGCTATCTCTGGCTTGGTTGGAATTGCCGATTTGCTACAATAATGTAGTCTTTCTTTTTTTCTTTTTTGTAACTGTAGGGCAAGTTGCTCCGTCCGGACCCCGGTGTATGGACTTGATGGCCTGCAATATTACGCAAGCGCACCCGTGATTTGTGCCGACCGTTCGTTGTATTACGTACGTCTTGCGACTAGCGCGATGGCGCCAAAAGTCCGGGCTTCGACACGGCGCTGATAGTGAATTGGGCCTTGCTTTTTTGGCACCCCCCTCCGTCCCCCGCTTGCAACAGAATGCATCTCGACCCCGCAACATTGGGATAGAATAGTACGGTAGTGTATGGTAGGGTGGGCACCCAGGTCTGTGTGACACTCAACAACCGAGTACAAAGATTTGAAAGTGGGCCGAATAGCCGCTCGGGACACATGCGATTGTGGATGGAACTTTGGAAACAGCAGTATTTACGGCTGAGAGTGTTTCGGCCCAGCTAGTCAACGAGGTGCATACTGTCCCGAGCAGCAAGGCCCACTTCCAAATCTATGATTGGTTGTGCCGGAAGAAATTGGTGCGCCCAGCAGACGCCAGCAGTCTATCAGGTCTTGTTATTGATACACAGACATGGGATGTCATGATCAAGGTCGTCTCGTGTGCATACCGTACGAAAAAGTGCCCGTGATCGCATGCGGCCTAAACCGCCTTTCATGGCTCCATGGCTCCACAACCAAGCGGGAGCCAAAATGCCTGAAAGGGTGGTCTTTCATCCTGTCTCGTCGAGAGCTTTTCCCGACACGAAACGGTCCGTTCCGCCCCCGAGTGGTTGCGGAGCAAATGGAGCTTCGATGGATGCTGGTCTCAGCGGGTGGACGATCACTTTCGCTTTTGCAGTTGATCACACCAACGCCCCCCGCCAAGGATGGGAGGGCATCGTCAAAGTTATTACACGCCATCGGAGTCAAGTGGCTATTCTGCGTTGCCGATCTCCCAGATGATTATTCGCCTTGAGGTCGGTCTGGCTGGATCGCGAGCCAAGCGTTTCAAAACCCAGATTGCTCTCTCCTAGCTGGAGGGCACCCCACGAGGCCGTGACGGTAACTTCACCTGAAAGGCCCACACGCGGTCACAATCGGCACACCTCTTCAAGGATCGTTTTGTAGCTGCCCGTACCCCTCTTTTCGTCGCCACCGAACGTACTTGGCCAGATCGAGCAGCTCACAAAACTAACCAATACCTAAGGACTTCAACACGGCGATAACTGCCTACGCCACTGCCGACGCCACTGGCCAGGGAGACCAGAAAAGCCAAGCCTAAGATGTTGCTGACTTTGTGTTGGAAGGCATACGGGATTTCCGTCTCCGGCAGACAATCCTCTCGCCCCCTCCCCCTTCTTACGGCGAGACGCCAAGAGGGGTGTCCAACAAACATCCGTTCAACTATTCAACCGGAAAAGCAAAGGCAGCCCTTTCGAAGAGCGCCACCATCATAGCAAGGTGTCCCCGTCCAACTTGCTCCTGAGCATTAAAAGAGTCACGCAATGAAAACGGCCACCACATCCCGAACGCTTGCAGAAACAATTTGTGAGAGGAGAGGTCTAGGACGATATCTCCACGACGCGCAGCAGCGTGACCTCGCGCCGGTGTCCCTGGGTGGTCTTGGAGCTCTTTCGCCGTCGCTTCTTCAACACGATCACCTTCCAAGAAAAAAAAACACAACACAAGTGAGGGAGGGCATGAGGGTGGCGACACTGCTGTCCGCGCAAAACGCTACAGGCCTGTCTTAGCTTTCAGACGGGAGAGGGCAGAACACTCACAGCAGCTATCACAACACACAAGGATATTACTGTACACAACTTCGTCCACCTTGAGAAACGTGTAAAGGGAAATGGGGGACAGAAAGGAGGTGATGGAGGAAGTTGTCCCGAGGTGCTGCCTGATCAATGCGCACATTATCAACGTGGCACAGCAGTCTTGCAATGCGGCACCCTTAGCACGAAGACAACATCATACGCACTTCGACAGAAGCACAATACTGGCACCAGCACCTTCGCCACAAACACTGCGAAAATCCGACCCACCCGAATAATCAAGCCTCAACCAAATTTCTCTTGCTATCTCGACCGAGGCTTGCTCCTCGACAACCTGCATGACTGCCATTCTCCAGCATCCCAACATATCCCCTCACGCCGGCAAGAAACACCGACCTTCCATCACCGAAACCGCCAAGACACCAAACATTGATTGCCCCACGCAGCGTGTCTCCTTCACAAGAAGGTACCCAAACCTCCCGGGGCACACTTGAGCGGACCTGAACCGCACGATTAACTGCCGCATGCTCACCTTCTTGTCTCTCGTCTGCTCCTCAACAAAGAGCTTCACCGTTGCCCCCGGGACGGTCGGTCGTCCCACGACGGTGCTCTCCCTCGTGCCCACCAGCAGCACGTCCGCGGTCTCCAGGGTCGTGCCGACGTCTCCCACGAGCTTTTCAGCGACGATGACGTCATCCTTCGTCACCTGCCAAAACAAAAAAAACACATCAAGAAGGAAGCGCTGTTGGCAAAAAAACGTGCACCAAGTCCGTCGCGTGACTGCATTCTTCAGCACGAGGGAAGTGGTAGTCGTAGGCCGCCACCAGCAGGGTGTCCAGAGAGTTACAAGTTGGTTTCGGTGTTGGGAAAACGTCATACTACAAGAGAACCAACCTTCTTCTGTGGAGAAATGACGAAGTGAGCCACGATATTTCGGCAGAGTGGGAAAAATGGACATCTTTGCTCTCGAACTCCTATGCATACAGCAAAAAATATTTTATGCTGCTTTGTCCGGAGGCTCTGTGCTGCTGTACCACGTGGCTTCTCACCTGAATGCTCCAATCCACAAGACTCTGCGGGAAAAAAAACAAAACAAGCACCACGTGTGCGTCAAAGCACAGCAGCAGCGCCTTCGGATCCCCCCTTTCTCGACAAACACACGACGCACCTTGTGCTGTGTGTTCCCGAGGCGGATGACGGCGAAGGTAGGCTCGCACCCGGCGGGCACCGGGGGGAAATCCCACCCGGGGGCCGGGGGGTGCTTCACGACGGTGTGGCAAGACGTCGACGGCGGGGCCGAAGAGGAAGGCAGAGATCTCTCTAACACTGCACTGCTGCTGCTGCTGCTGCTGCTGCTGCTGCTTGAGTGCGCCTCTTGCTCGGACACCTGAGAGGAGAAACTCGAGCGCTGCTGCCGTTGCTGCTGCCACCTGTGCTGCTGCAAACGTCCACCTGTTGCTGGACACCGAATCGCGGTCGGTAGCTGATCGAAAGCTGATGCCGCCGTCGCGCCTACCAACACCTGCGAAGGATGCATTGTTCCGGAGGCACAGCAGTACACCGTGAAAGCGGGGCGAATGGTCATTCGTCAAAACGGCGGCATTGAAGCTCATCTGCTTTGCAGTTGTGGAACGTGAGCGGCTGTGAACACATGGTGATGTGTGTTACCAACCGTGCCGGGAAAACAAAACCAGGCCATTCTTGCGTAGCGCCAGCGACCTACATTAGACCGCAAGAGGGGAAGAGATGGCACCCCCCCTGAAACCGATTTTCAAAGCTCGATTGCTCCATAACCACGATTGTCTGTACCGTACCGTATTCCGTACCGTGGTATTCCATAAGAGGCGGAGATATGGCATCCCCCCTAGACCGATTTTCAAAGCTCATTTGCTTCACAACCAAGCTTGAAGCCAGCAACAAAACATGTTGGATTTCGAAACATCGCGTCGAGGGCTTTCCTAAGACGCATCGGGCTCTTCCCGCACCCACTCGGTTGTGGAGAAATCGAACTGTGAAAGCCAGTCTACGAGGGGTGCCATCTCTCCGCCCCTCACGGTACTTGAAGGAAAACGGCCGCCAGTCGCGTTAAACCTATTCAGTCAAGGGTCCGGATCTGTGTTACCCGGTCCCGACCTCTTGTGCCACATGGAAAGCACAGGGATGAAGGTGCAGCAAACGCGACAGAGGAAAGAGGGGGCACGGGCCACCCAAAACGCGTTGAGACTCCTATTTTCGAACGGGCACCCCCCTTCGCGCCAAGCCGGCTGTGCAAGATGCCAGCACCGTGGCGAGAGTGGCACATGATAGGCTTCGTTGGCCCCGCTGTTAAGGGATGCACAAGGTACGCAGTAGGCGTGAGCACCACGGGCGGTGATCGTCTGCGATCCACAGGCGCAGCGCAATGGACAACCATGTCCCGCGGCAATTCCGCACCAGAGCATGGGTGGCGAAAGAAAGCGCCCTGTTTGAGGACAGTTCGAGACTTGCCTGGACTATCGCAAGGATAGGGGGTGTTGTCTACCGTAGGAGGCGGTCAATTATCTACAGCTGCTGCATATGCATGCTGTGCACATCAGTCCAACACCAACAGGACATCACTACAACATTATAGTCCAGTTCCCTGCGGGAATATGATAAATACGTATCCATATGTATGCCAGCACGCTAGAACGAAGGTATTGCTGTGTGTGTTGGCGCGGATGCCGTGTGACTCGGTGCCTCCTCTGTTCCTTCTCGCCGCCTCCTCCCCCTCTATGCACAAGGAAAGAGCATCAGCGCTACAACCGGGCGCCCGAATGCACCGGACCCCGCCAAAGATCACACAGCAGAACGTGCCCAACAAGCTGATGACTCGCCATCAGATAAAGGACACGTTGCCACACAGCCCTCGCGTGATGCTGCCTCCTGAACGCACCTGCTGCGGTGATGTGTGTGTGGACCGCCGCCGAGGGAGAGGTCGTTTCTGGTGCAACACTGCTCCCACGGCTGCTCTAGACCACAAAATACGACCGGGTGCTACGGCCGTAGCACTCGTGGCAAGGGTGCGCTGCATCATCGTAGTCGAGCAGAGAACACGCCGGGAGGGGACGATGGACGCACGGACGGCACGCGGGAACATCTTGAACTCTTTGTGGTGAAAGGGTTTCAGTTAGTTCTAGAGGGGTTACACCTTTGAATATGTAACGGCCAGACACCTTCTCTGAGTATCTGTAGGCGACCGGACCGACCGACCGACCAAGTAGAGTAATGGCTGTTACAGCGTTACAGCAGATAACAGCAGACGGATGTAGGTGACAGGATGATGAGACAAGGGTAGAACTTGAGTCAAGTCAGTGGACTACATCGAACCTATCGGAAAGTTGGAAAAGAAGAGGCAGAACCAGTTCTCCTTACAGTGGCGCTGTCGGCTTTACGTTGGTAAAGTAAGTTGTTACGCTTGCTTGCGCGTTGAGTGTTCACGGTTGCAGTCTACAGTAGATAATAGACAGACCACAGGGTCGCGTTCCACGGATCACCGCTGTCGTTACTTGACGTGCCGCCGAGGTATTTTCAGCGCAACGGGGCTAACGCCGACGAGACCAGCGCAAACCTCCGCTGCCGCGCGCGTTCGACGGATCGCCTCTGCGGACTCCGGGTGTACACTCGGGGTGCTGAGAGCTAAGCTCATGAGGCTGCAGGCAATCGCAAGGCTGTTATCGTAGTCGGGCGTCGGCTTCCGCTGACAAAATGAATCCTGAGCCAGTAGGCCGCGAAGAGGGTGAGCTGTCCTCGCCCGCGCGGACGGCTCCGACGGGAGGCCATACTGCTTCGCCCCGCGAAACAGGTGCATCCAAAAGTCGTCGTCCGACATGCACGGTGGTCCAGTTACACGCCGTCAGTCGGCGCGCGTACCCGTCACGTGAGAGTCTTGACCTCACCGCCCCCCCGTGCGCCCGTGCGTCCGGTGCGTCGCTCGTCGCATGTGATCGCGTCGCGGTCTTACCTGTCTGTGTTGTCAGGATCCGAGAATGAGTTTTCGCCGGAAGCGGGTGTGGTCGCCGTGGCCCCGCTGCCGGCGGCGGCGGCGGGCACTTAGAGTTCGGTGAGCTCGGCTTCGGAGTCGGCCGGTTTGGATGCGTCGCCGGTGGGCAGCGGCGTCGCCAACGCCGTGGTGGAGGCGACGGCCCAGGCGACCGAGGCGTCCCTGCAGGCGGCTGCTCGCGTGGCCTCTGGTGGCGGGGGTGCCTCGTCACGGGGTGCCGCCGCGCTGGCGTACCGGGTCCCGGACTACCTAGCTTCGACGTTGAATGGGTGCGGTTACAGGTCCTCTGCGGTTGAGGAGGTCGGCCACCTGGTCTCTGGCTGGTCGGTAGCGGATAGAGGGCTGCTCCTGGCCGATGTGCTCGGTGGGCGCCTCGCACCTCTGGGGTCGCCTGCAACACCGTTTGGTTCGGACCATGAGTGAGCCGAATGTAGACTCTGACCCCGACTGGGCCGCATCGGTAGTAGAGCTGGCCTTTTCTCTAGAAGACGCAGAAAAGGTGCTTGAGGCTGTCGCGAAGGTAATCATGTCACGTCTGTCTCCCTCTCGTAAAGGCGGTTTTGGGGGGCAAATTCTCTCGCGCGAAAAACATGTGTCTGGGCTGAAAATCGGTCCGAGTGCCCCATCGATCGTAACCCGTAACCGCTTTGCGGCCTTCACGTCGTCCGGGCTGCGGCAGGTTGCCGAAGCCGATGGCTCAGATGTCGTGCGTCGCTCCGTGGAAGATGAGCGCGTGGAGCGCATCAAGCAAGGCGGGTCTGCGGAAGGCCGAGCAGGCGGCTGCTGGTGCTGTTGCCAAGCGTCGTGAGACGCGGGCGTGCCCGTGGAGGGCACTACCGCGAGGTCCTCCCTGACGGTGGACGCGAACGTCGTTCCCCGGAGAGTGTACGCCTTCGAACATGTGGAAACTGACTCGTCGCAGCCGGGAGGCGGTCTGGCGTTCGCATCGCAGCCGTCGTTGCTGAAGCACGAAGCCGAGCTCCGAGCAGCGGTGATCTTGACATCATATCCGCATTTCCGTTTTTCTTGCCTGGGCCGGTATTGCCACGTGTAGGTGTGCGCGGACAGAAAACCAAACCATCGTTGCACACGGTTTACCTTTGATGACATACCCTAAAGGTTCAACAACGGTTGATGATCCGTGACAACTTCGAAAGGTGTCCCGTAGAAAACTCTGTCTGTTCTTATTAAAAGCTGTTCTTATTAATAGCCCAGGCCAAGGCACCACACTCAAGTTCCGTTGGTGTCCACTGCTTCTCGATAGGAAGCGCAGGTCGACTCATGAAACACAAAGGTCGGGTTGTACCATCGGGTTGATCTTGTTCTATCACAGCTCCCATCCTGGGACGCATCCGTGATAACCCGAAATTTTCTGACCCCCGATATCGAATCTCGATAATTCGGAAAGGCCAATACTCCCGGGCTACACAATTTGTCCATCAAACGGGTTACAATTTGTACGTGCTCAGTGCCAAGAACAAACTTGAAGATTGTTTAGTGGACGAGATGGAGCCGACATGTCTGGAAGGAAGCTTGCTTCTAGGGTAGCTCAGCCCACCCAAGAGTGACAGTATCTGGCCAGCATTTGTTGGCATCGGGATTCGTTGCAGATAACCACCTTTGCGGGATCTGGCTTAAGATCCATTGCAGCGACTTCGTGACCCAGAAACTTGACAACCTTGACACCCGGGCAAGTTTTCTTAGGTGCAACAATAGGATGCAACAGCAAGGACAAGTGGTCCTGTGAATAAATATGGCAATAAAGTATCCGAGGTTGAAAAAGATTACCTAGGAGATGGTGCGGATCATAGAGGAATAGATTCTAGGCACAAGGAAAAAAAATGGATTTTTATCAGACGGACATAATTTTTTGGTACAGATATTTGCCACAAACCTTTTTAGGATTCCGAGGGTACAGTAACCTTCTCACCGAGGTGGATCGCTTCCTAATGAGCACAATCCATATCCCAGGGTTTCAAAAGCATTGGCACATAGGTAGGTTCTCACGGGCTCCTCTCCGAGTCGTTCGTACTCCCCAGGATTCCTATTAGGACGTTCATGACGTCATGACCGGATCCACCTAGCTAGGGTGATAATGTTACCCTCGGAATCTTAAAAAAAAGATTTTTTTCGGTGGGCTCGTCGCAGTCAAAGTGTAAATGTTGGTGTCGTGCTTGTGACGCGTGCCAAGCGAGAAAGACTCCGTGACATACTACTGTATCTTGCCCTTTGCCGAGTAGACCTGTAGAATGATGGCATTTATTTTCTTGCGACTCTTGCCTCAAACATCGAAGGGAAGTCGATATGTATTCATAGTTAGTTGTGGATTGTTTAGCAGATACTATCTATGCCGAAGCGTACGCATTGACCGCGGCAGAAAAAGCAGCTCAGGGATGTTCCGCAATACTGACTGGTGCAACAGTATGTCCCGGTGGTTGTCCACACACATTTTCTGTCAGAATGAATAATAGCCCCAGTTAGCAGAGCCGTGCACCAGATGCAAGATACTGCTAAAAGTTTACAAGTGCTTATCATCTACAGACAAATGGCATGGCGGAGAGAGGTTAAACCATACCTTACGTCAAATGTTACCACATCTGATCGCGGACAATCAAAAAAGTTGGGATGAGCTCTTGGGTACTGCAATTTCAGCCCAAACAACAATGTGAGCAAGGTCATCTCCGAACGGAGTGCACTGGGCCGGTGACTAGGTTCCCAATGACGACTTTGGAAGGTCGTGGTGTTATAGGACATCAAAGTTTTAAACAAGATCAGTTCGATTAACTTGAGCTTGCCATAAGAAATAGACAGAATGGTCATTGTTAGACCCTCCATACAGACACTCGAGCCGTATATCCTTCCCAGGCTCATCCTTTCTCACATCTGTGTACACCAACTTAGTTAGGTCCCACTTCTCGGCCATCAGGTGCTGTTCCAGGCCCAACAAATATCACTTCTTTGTAAGGTCCAGTCCAGCCGTATGCCAACTTGGACACCAAGGCAAAGGACTTTCTCTTTCCAGACTTGATTGTTTTGAGGTTGTAGCACATGCTGCCCCTCTCCAGTAAATAATGGTGTGCTTTGATCGTTATATGACTACACCCAATAATTTTACCTCTGCCTCAATTGTTGGCCGCCTCGGTCTGAGTTCCTTCCCCAAAGAACCAGTTATTTCATCTTGTTCGAGGAGTTCGTATGGTTTTTGGGGAAGGAGGGGATGACGATTCGCGTTTCTGTGCGGCGTTTTCTCGTTTTCTCCCGTTGTCTTATCTCTTCTCCCCTCTACACGATTGGTGCTCGACGTACCAGGGGAAACGTGGCGACGCTCGTCGGTCTGTTGGGAAAAGAGAGCCCACGCTCCCACGCCACTTACTATCAAGCCATACAAGAAGACCGAAAACATATAGTAAGACGAAACACCGGGACATGAGAGCCAAAGATTACGATGATGATCCATGCTGACTAAACCGACGCCAGTCAGTCGTCGCCTGAACCCGGAGCGAAGGGAAGCAAATGTTTTTGTCATAGTTCCGTTTTTTCCCCGCAGTACACTCCCTGACGTCACAACTCATTCCCTCAACGCAGAGAAAGGTGTCCTGCGGCGGTGGTTTGTTCTCTTTTGAAAATGGTAGAGGCTTGTTTATGTGACATATGAACGAATGCGATGCAAAGGGCAGCCCCCCCCTCACAAGAAAAGTCTCCGAAAACATTAGAAGATACAGTACAGTCATGCAAAACGCAAGTGAGTTCCTCCAGCCACCCACAACATCGGAAGTTGACTAGCTCTCTCTGCCTTCGTCAGGCCCCGACGATAGGTGTACGCTCATGATCCAAATCATCACAGTCAAGGTCTCATACCGTAGGCATGGCCTATACATTTGATCGCCGGTGGTGATGCACGCAGTGAACTGTGGTCTGCGCCTGTAGCGCATGCGCCTACCCACAGCGAACTATTCCCATGCCTCCCTCACCCATGAGCAACCATAATCATCGCGTGCACCGATTCTAACTATTATATGTGGAGGGACTCTCGCACAACCAAAGCGATGCTGATCGACCCCCGCATCCAACCAATGCGGGGAAAATCACGTGCACTTAATGTGCAAAGAACGCTCCCGCGCCCCCCCTGCCCCCCCCGCCCCCAAACAGTACATGCCCACAGGCAGGCCCCCCCAGGTACCGTCACACCACCAGCTCTTCGACAGAACTAAACATCAGATAATCGCAGGCAGGCGGTGATGATCTGTTCCAAAGAAATCAACACCCCACGGCGGTATTGCTCTGCATCTACTGCCGCCCCCCCGACATGCACCACCGCACCAACACGCTGCTTTCGCAGCAACGCCACGAACGAACAATGATTCCAAAAAATTCTAAACCGCTGCCCAATACTTGTTTTCACAGCGGCTTCAAGCATCACGTACCGTTATATAGGACACTCAACACTGTCACGGCATCGAGCTTCAACATGTGTTGTCTCCCAAGGCGGTAAGCTAGATGCCCACGGACCTATTGACAGTCAATCCTATCAAACACCACCAGGCTCGACAGCCTACAAACGTTAATAATACAGACCGACCCTGCTCCTCCCATTGCCCCCCGTACCGGCATGCACCCACATCTACACAATGCTGAGAAAGTATTGAGTAGTACACCACGGCATGCTGGAAGCGCGTAATTATTATCCCATAATATCGTTGTCACCCGGCGTGTAGACCGCACGAAAAAATGCAACGACTGCGTAAACGGCAAACGTTTCCATTCTGTCGTTCAGGTGCGTACAAGAGCAGGGCGCTACTACGACACAGCAACAACAGGAGCACTACTTGACTGTCAAATTTGTGCCGTGCCTACACGCCACGTGTGTGTGTTCGCGTAGACACGACTTCTGAAATGCTGTTCCTTGTTTCCACGCACTATAACTATAATGCGATGAAAATAAATTAAAAGTCTAGTCCCTGCTGGTCAGGGGAACGCACAGCACAAGAACGCAACCAGCGTTGGGGGATAGAGCGCACAAGAAGATTACGGTGCCATCACTCCCCGCTGCACTGGTTGAAGCCGACGATCTTGTCGTAGGCCAGCATCTCTTCCCGCTGGTCCGGGGTGTTCTCCCAGCTCTTGTAGACGCCGTACTCCCCCGCCCAATCAACGCCGTACGCCTGTTGTGCAGCATTTTGTACAACAACACCGGTCGGCGGTTGGTTGTGATTCCCATTCGCGAAGACGGCCGGCCCGCCCACACGCACGCGGATGGCGAGCACCACACAACAGAGTATGTAGACACAGGGGAAGCGGCCGCGGGAGCGAGTATTTCACGGGGGAGGGGGGAAGTGGTGCACAGGCCGGTGAGAGGAGGGGGGTGGTAGGCCAAGTTAAATGTATATTATAGTAACGACCACCAACGACGTATGATATGGAGAAAAGCAAAGAAAATCCGCCGAAAACGGGGTGTAAACGGAAGGCGTCGCGTGGGAGCCCGAGGGCAAAACAGAGAGCGTTGTGACTTATTTTCTCCCGGTACAGTCAAGCTAAACGGCTATCGTCTGCTCAGTGGTCGCCCGGTTGGCGCTGTAGATGAAACTCCCAAGAAACACCAAGCACACACGCACACAATCATAAACACACACCTGGACTTCTGGGCGTATAAGGGCGAGCTGCTTGAACTGGGGGTTGCACTGGTGGGGGCCGTAAACTCGCTTGGCTTTCGAGTGGAAGCCCGTGAGAGAGACCAGGGTTGACCTTGCCAGCGCTAGCCCGTCCGCACAGAACATGCTAAGCAGGTCCTCTTCCATGGTGCGGTTCTGGTATGTAGCCGGCGGCAAATTCAGCGGCGGTGGCGACCATCGAAACATTAGATAGATAGTTCCGCAGATTTCTCATTGATTATGTCGATCAATAACATACGCAACGATTTGGTCGGGTGGTGTGTGGCCCGAGAGTAACGAAGTAGCCTCGCGCTCAGACATGCCACCTGTTCCAAATGTTGAACAGGAAACGGTTTCCTTTCGCTTCGTTATCTTGCCGCATATTCTGTGAACAGGAAACGGTTTCCTTTCGTTTCGTTATCTTGCCGCATATTCTGTGAACAGGAAACGGTTTCCTTTCGTTCGTTTTCTTGCCGCATTTCTGCTCTCGATTCGCTCAAAACCGTAGTCGGGTCGTGGTGCAACACTTCTTTTTCGGTAGAGGACAATGCAAGCATCCTTGAAGTTACACACCCAGCTTTGGAACCCGAACGCGTTGTTTCGGCCGCGCTTGGGATGGACGTTCGACATGTTGAAAACCCGTCCACGACCAGCACGAGGCCTGCGATATGCGTTTGTTACCCACGTGCTGCACACGGGTGTCTGTACTACTGTGCACGACCCCTGTCAGTTCTTGATCATTTTGCAATGGTTCCTCGTCTCGCTGTTATTAACGCTTGCCAGACAGGTACCACCATCAAAACATCGTTCTCAACCACTACGCTGCGTGCCGAGATCGTGAGACCTCAACCGTCCGTTGAAGAAGTGTCAACCTGTACGGTACGTGTTGCCACCCAGCTCTCAGCCAGCCGATATCCTCTACGTGACTAGATGAGCCAGAAGCGGGTGCGTTCTCGAAATCAGCCCTTCACCCCTCACCGTGTGAACGTGCACGGAGTCCGGGAGATCTCCCGCGTCAACCATGGCCTGCAGGGCTGGGACCACGGGGTTCAGACTATCGTGCTCTTGTGCGTTGGTGACGACGTCGACGTTATCCCAGTCGCCGTGCTGGATCACTTGCAGGTAGAACTGCAGCGGTGGCTGTTGGTCGGATCGACGATCGCGGCAAATGGCGTGGGAGAAGGAGCACAACATGTCCCGCTAAAGTTGGAGCGCGTGAACGCATTGAGAACGAGAGAGGCAGCAGTGGCAGATCAGTCCGCTTTTACCGCTCGGGGTTTGCGGCTATTTTCCTTAAGGGTTTGCACGTAACCTGAGGGGGAAGCGAAAAGGAGCGGGGAATTTTTTGCAGTACACGTGGCATCGGAAAGAAACGGATGGAAGCTTCGTGAGGTGGACAATACTACCTAGGGAGCCAGTCGCTGATTCCACGCAGCACAGAGCCAAGGTCGTGCCACGCTGTACCCGGTCAACTCGTACTTCGCCAACGATTAACGTTCAAAGGGGGACAACAACTGGAGGGTGTTCGCTAGCTGAGGAGCAACTGCCGCTGCGTGCGCCATCGCGTATGCCGCAGGGAGACCATCAGCATCGTCACCTGGCCGTAGTACGGCAAGACTTGATCGGAAAATATGTCTCCGGAGCGCACGTGGAGCACGAGGTTGCCGTCTCCTCCTCCTCCTCCTCCTCCTCCTCCTCCTCCTCCTCCCCCCTGCTCCCGTTCCTCCTCTCCTGCCGGCCGCATCTCCTCACCCTCAACGCCCTCCTCGTTCTCCCCCTGTGTTTGGTGGCCCCCGCTGTCTGCAGCAGCTCCTTCCCCGCCCGTCGTCGCCGCTCCCGCTCCGTCCTTCCTGGTGCTCTCATCGCCGTCGCCGTCGCCCAACCTTCGGTTTCGTCGTCGCCGCTCCATGTCATCTGGCCGATCGCTTTGGAAGGACGATTGCCCGTCGTGCTCGCTCGAAGGGGCGGCGGCGGCGGCGGTGGCGTGGCAGAGGTCCACGTCCTTCGGGAAGTAGTAGGCGGCCTCGCATGCCAGAAGCCGGGGCGCGCGCGTGATGCACTCCTTGAGGCCGGGGGTGTGGAATTCGTGCTCCGGGGAGGTAACTGTTAATTGTTGTTGTTTTCGGGGGATTTCCGTGCGGGAAAATTGAAATTGTACGCGGGAGGTCGAGCGTGTGTTAGACAGGCCGCCGTTCGTTCGAGAACCTTGAGTGCAAGCAGATAAAACAAGTGCAAAAGGGGCAAATCTGATACACTCGATCCGAACACGGCCATTAATCGGGTACCACTATTTTCCGCAGCTGGCAGCGCCGTCCTGGCGCCATCTGATTGGCCGACGTCCGCCCCTACCCGGCCCTGACCCTATTCCCGCCGGGTGCACCCGATCTCGGCTACTCACCCTCCGTAGCGGTACACCCGATTTTACTCTCCCCTACCCGAAAAAGGCTGAGGCTCTTCGACCAACAGCCCACCACTAGCACACCACGCTCACGAACACACGTCGTCAGCAAGGCCCCGCACTCGAATTCCGATGTTTCCGACGGCGGGGGCGGAGGTGGGCCCACCGCCGGCGGCGGAATTCTCGTTTGAAGTTGGGTCTCTCCGCTGCAGGTATTTGTCCACCCGCTTGGCCCTCTCTCTCCGAAACGAGAAACGAGAGAATTCCACCGCCAGTGGTGTGTCCACCTCCGCCCCCGCCGTCGGAAGCATCGGAATTCGAGTGCGGGGTGTGTTCATGAGCGTGGTCTGTTGGTCGAGGAGCTCAGGATATCCGGGGGGTGATTGGCCAAGATCGGGTGCAACCGGCGGAATGGGGTAGGACCGGGCGTCGGCCAATCAGATGGCGCCAGGAGGGCGCTGCCAGCTGTGTAAATAATGTCAATTGGCCGTGTTCGGATCAGGTACGCTTGATTTTGGCCACTGCTCATAAAACAAACAACGATCTCGTACTCCTTTTTCACCACAAGTTCACTTTGCTGCACCCGCTACTTTCCTCCAGAGAAATCGTCGGCGTTTCAAGAACCACACCACACACGGTCACAGGCGGCACCGGTAGAACCAGACGCACAAGCCACAAATACGATCAGACGAAAAGCACCACGCGATCCCTTTCGCTGCTGCTCACGTTGGTGCATGTGGAACGCTCTCTGCCCCGCCCAAGTGATGTCCGCGGAACACGCGCTGGAATCGAAGCCGTCCACGTCGGGCGCGGTCGAGAAGTCGAACCAGCGCGGCCCTGGGGTTCCCTGGTTCAACACTCCGGGCGCGAGAACGTCGTCCTTTGGAGGCAGCCACACCTGAGGGTAAACGCACCCGGAGCGAGAGAGAGAGAGAGAGAGAGAGAGAGAGAGAGAGAGAGAGAGAGAGAGAGAGAGAGAGAGAGAGAGAGAGAGAGAGAGAGAGAAAGAGAGAGAGTAAAAGAGAGCGGATTCACACTGTTCTTTCGGGCGCCGACAAAAAATTTACTGGCACGATGTGTCGCACGCGGGATGATGCGTAGCGACGAACCCCTGCGTACACGACAGTTGGTTTCTTCGTGGTCAACGAGGGAAAAAGAACGGAAGAATCCTTCTCGAGACAAAAATGAAGGCAGGCACCACGAAAGATTAAAGGGGAATAAAACAGGACGAAAAGAAAGATCTGCGCGGCCTTCCAAATACTCCCGGAGCATCCCCCCCATTCCGATGTCTCGCACGATTGCAAAAGCACCAAGTAGCGCGAACGCTCAATCGTGTTTCCTTTGTCGACTTACCACCTTAGACTTGCAGCAGTAGCCCAGGGCGAGGTTGCGGAAGAAGCTGCTGAAGTGGTTCCCCGTGCGGCAGAAGGTCAAGTGCTCGACCTTCACGACGTTGCCCGGGAGGCTCTTGTCCTTGATCCGGGAAATGGCCTCCTCCGCCGTGTCGATTACGTAAGGACACCCGCCTTCCACGGCCACCCCCGGTGCTGCTGCCGCTGCCGGCGGCACTACTTCTCTGTGCTCTGGTGCACTGCTATTCCCGTTGTTTCCGTCCACACCTGCCAAGAATCAAAGCCAATTGTACTTGAGAAGACAGAAGTGAGTGGTGCCCTGTGTACAGGGCATTCGTTTTGTCTCGCAGGTTGACCGGGGGGGGAGAAACGTGTCTTTTCAGAATATCACTGGGATAGACTACAGCAATTGAACATCTCAACTTTCCCCCCCACAACTGGCTCTCTGAGGTAATATCTTCCTTCCATGCATGCATGCGTGTACACACCCATAAATCAAGGCGGCAAGGATGGTGCAGCAGTGAGTCCATGTGTGGGGCTCACAGGGATGGGGACGCGGGTAAATGTAAGGGTGACGAACAGGAGTATGAGGAGAAAATTTTTCAGCAGCAGTAGTGTCTGAGGATATGTATGTGCATGCCTTCTCCGACAGCAACCATCCGCACAGAGAATGTACCTGTGCAAGCAATTACCGGTCGGCACATCTTCTCTGCCTCAACCCTTGGACAGAGCACGCGGCGAAAAGCGCAAATGCTGGCAGCGCTAGATGCGAAGACGCCACGGGAAACCGCCTCACAGAGGCGCCAGACTCTATGCTAAAGTATCGGCCCGCTCAGCAAATCGAGACCGCTATCCACTATCACACAAAGCACATCAAAATCGTGATATTTTCTATATTTACAATTCTGTACTAAAAATAAATAGAGAACTACTGTGTTCGGCGGTGTGATCAAAGGTGCAGTCGTGAAAACCCTCTCCCTTGATCGAAAAGGTGAACTCAGCAGGCGAACCTCCTTTCACTCCCAATACCGGGAACCACATGCACCGCAATCACAACAACATCAAGCACCGAGGCAGTGCGATTGCGTCGGCTCCGGTGTGCGTTTTCTCTGCTCTTCCCCGCAGACGGGGCACCGGGTTGATCACATGTTGAGGACGCTGGATGTACCCTTCTGTGGTATATGCATTTTAAGCTCCGGTACCGGTAGGCAGTAGATTGGATCTGGAAAGGGTGTCTGCCCCACCTCATAGAGATTTGCCATGGTTAATAGATGGTACTGCTGTGTGTCCTGAGCGCATTGCTAACAAGCTTGCTCTTGGGGTGAGCTGCTTCTTTATCTCCCTGCTACTGCTGCTGTATCGTATATGTTTCTTGCTCTTGAGCGAGGCACACCGGCGATCTTTCGGCACGCAGAGTGATCGGAGCCGGGAACGGAGCTGAAACGGCCTGTGGTCAACACCAAGATCATTTATAGCTGGCTGGTGCGCGACTGTACAATGCCGTCGTTCTCGCACGTGAGAGCGTATGCCCCCACCCCCCCCCCCCCCCCCGCGACAAAATCCCACTCACCGTATTCCTGCAACTCCTGCTGGTGCTTTCCAACCCATCAGTCACTACATACTGTAATATTCTCGGGTTCATCAAAGAGCATCAACGTACTTGTACATACCTATCGTGTGGTTCGCTGGAGATTGCTGTGCTTGTGCCAGTGGACGCGGTCCTTTTGGTGGAACCCTGGGCGTGAGCAACGTTCGCACAAGGTGTGGGATTGGTCAGGCGCGAAGAGATGCCATGTGCTGGGGGCTGGAAATAATGACACAATGACACAAGAGGACCAGGCTGAACTTGCTAATCCTTTCATCCGCACGTCCCAGCTCTGCCTGAAGCATTGTGATTGATGGCTGCGTTACGGATGGACTCCCACCGTCGTGTGAACCGCTGCCACTGTTTACAACCAGAGATGGATACAGGGTTCACCCTTACAACTAAACCCAGCGAAACTACATCTCATCAGAACAAGGAAGGAAGCGCAGAACCAGGAATCTCGACGAGGACAGACCGTGGCTGGTGTGAACGCTGCAAAGCAATCGTCGTGCGTGCACCCATTGCCACCGATCGGCGTCAGTTCTGTCGTTGATATACCCAAGGGTGCTTTGGGATGAACCTACAAACCCCACCCGCATATCCTCACCTTAGGAATTTTTTGTGAAACTTGTGTTGATCCTCGGCCGGAACGATTGTAGCACTGGTCAGCATCGCCGACACCGCAAGGAGGGCGGCTTCTCCATTGATTTGCCTCAACCTCATGGTGGTAGCAGTCTGTAACGGCGTATCCCGTGAATATTTTCAGCTGTCTTTGCCGCGATGATGTACGAGAATTGGCACTTCACGGTAGTCCTGCCGGTGCGAAGATGTCAAGCAAGGGCGTGTGGCTCGATTTGTAGCGGGACAGGCGAGCATACTGTCTGTTGCTTTTGGGCGCAGTTCTCCCACCTAGCACCTCCAACAACAGGGCTGATCTATGCAACCGTGTGGTAGTCGGCAAATGTTGCATTAGGTACGGTCCATGCACAACAATTTGTCCATTCACGTTTTGTGCGATATCTTTTTAAAGAAAAAAAATTGAAACGCGAAACAACGATATTCGTGACCGCCTCGTCGAGCTACGTCGATAGCTGCAGAGTTTTTTTCATTTTGGGAAAATGCGACATTTTTGACCAAAATGATCCACGGAACCCCCTAAATCAGCATAGTACCCCCTGTTTTCCTCCGCGGAGCCCCCATGTATTACCACGGTGCCCCCCATTTATCACTGCGGAGCCCCCTCTATCACCACGTTGGCCCCCATTTTTGCGCCAAGGCACCCCCATTTTATGCCACGGTGCCCCCTCAGTGAAATTTCCCCGCGTCCATACCCTTCTTATTCACAACTGATCGCGCACTACTGTAATAATATACACGCAATGCAGGACGAAAACACATGCAGTCTATTCGCATGCACAACACTTCACTCTATCACTCTATTATATATATAATTAATACATACAAAACTTTCGGAGGCAGTCAACCGCAAGGGAGTGCTGGAAAAACAACAAGGCCCAACACAAAAGAAAGGGAACACGCAGCAGGCGCACAACAAACCCGGCAAAGCTGTTGAACAAACATTTGTACAGCGCTGGCATGCGCACGCAAAACACACATCACGACCATCAAATCTGCCCCGCGGTCATGGGAGAGCGCATCACCAGCACCGGGTGGAAGCTCATGTTGCTGCGCCGGCTTCGGCTTCTTAGGAGCCGCCCGGCCATCGGCTCCGCGATAGCCGATCTTCTTCTTCTTAGGCCGCCCCCTAGGATTCCCCATGGTGCTTGCGTGGGTATTTTGTGTTCTTCGGGCTGCAACGTGTGCGAGAGTTGTTTGTGCGTGTTGTGTCGCCCACCAAAGCACACCCACCCATGGTGCGGCACAACATGTTGAATATCTCGAAAACTAGATTTTTCCCAGCAAAACCCCAAAACCCCCAACTGTAGATCGACGATAGGGATCGTTTGCCACCGTTTATTTTGAAATCGGTCGGGTGGTTGTCGCGCTGTAAACGAATCAAGTTGATCCTCTACATTCAGTTATTCTCTAATATCTCCTGTAATTTCGAGAATTACAAAAAAAAAAAGAATCCCCAACCGCAGAATTCCGAAATGTGTCCAAATCCGTTGATTTTTTTGGCATCGGCAATAAACACCCTGTGTAAACGACTCAAGTTTTAAAGGTGTTTCGGGGATAAAAAGTCAAGGAAAAAAAAAACAAAAAAAACTCTCTGTCACGCCATGCGCCTGGAAACATGGCGTTTGCCGGTACTTCCAGATTTTGGAACAACCACCTGTGTGCAGAGAAAAGTTGTCATTTGTGCTGGGGGAATTTATGGATTCATTGTTGTGCACGGACTATATGCACATTTCCTTTCAAGGGCATCTCCGCGTGTGCGTGAACACGTTCGTTCACCAACAGTGCAAACACTACGCCAAAACCCAACGTACACGCACGTTGTGTTCTTTTCGCAACAGAATCATGACGCAGATAGATGCGTTCTTCGGCCGGCGAGATGGTGTTAACGCTCCCACACAATAAGAGGATGATGAGGTCGAGGTACAGGCACGTTTGTCTATGGCGAGAGAAGTACGGCATTGCGCTTGCCAACAACAAGACATGCATGATCCATCATCATATGGTGGGGAAATTGGAGCTTCGATGCATTTCAACCAGCTTCAACATTATTGAATTCCCTCCCGAGAGACGCGTTCATGCTCTCACAGGGGTTTTGTGAAGGTCCGGGCGGGGAGGGGGGGGGTCAGCGTAAGCCACTTCGCCTAATAGGTTATGAGCCAACGTGGTAGGTAAACCACATCGAGTCACAATGTCCTCCGCCAATCCTATCCTGAAGGGATATGCACCGTTCAGCGGAAAGCCGGCGCACTACAATAGACGGTGACACTCTCTGACGCGCTCACGAGATGACGCTCACTCGCGGACTCACGAAGTCACCCTCTCTCACGCACTCACGACGTGACCACCGGAACCATGCCGGTTTGCTTGTTTTCACGCTCTAACGGTGACGCTCTCTCACGCCCTTACGAGATGGCGCTCCCTGAAGCCCTCACGACATGACCCTCTCTCACACGCACTCACGACATGACTACCGGAACCATGCCGGTTGCCTTTTGTTGGTTTGGAACGAACGCCGCTCGCACCGTCATTACGATATACGCAGGCGGGGCCCGCGGAAGGGTCCAGATCACCTGCGCAGGGCTCCACGATCAACAACGACATTGAGCGCTGGGCGTCCGACCCGCTCTGCCTGACCCCTACCAAGAGCTCTTTGTAGGGCATGTCCCTTGTGATCGGCAGGACATTGGCGATCTATCTGTCTGTGTAGTTTTACCCCGAGATGATTTGAAAGACAGACTGGACAGAGGGGTGATCTGAGATTGTTTGCTTCCTGGTGATCGGAATGGGTGTATTGTTTGCTCCGTCCGTTGTGGGCATATAGCCACTGAAGATTACATCATCATCGGAGTTTTTTTTTGTCGACTTGCTGAGTTTTTTCTCGTCTTCCCCATCTTGAAGTCGGCGCTTGTAGCGCCTATCTCCCGGATGCTTACGTACGGTCCTGCCTCTCTAATTGTCTCTCATGGCTGTCAACATTTGGCCCCGGGCGCAACAAGCAGTATAGATTATGATGTGTACATAGTCTGGACACCGGCCTACCATCAACCACCCCCTTTGCACAGAAATTTCTGGCGAAGTCGGAACTGGCGCGCGTACGAGCACGTAAAGACAAATCGGGGCCGGCCGCGTCGTGTTGTTGTTGTTGTTGTTGTCTTCACTCACTGAAAAGACTCCACCACATCCCGTTCGACTGTGGGTATATCTCGAATGGGTAGTCTTTCTGTGAGCGTTTTTATTATTCCTTAATTAAAAAACCGTTCCGTTCTCTCTGCTCATTATTCCTTAACTCTTTGCTCAGTACCTTCGTACCTTCTTTATTTTTCTAAATATGACTTCTGTTGGTACGTGGTGTGCGTTCGAAAAAAGGTTATAGTTGTGACAGGGCGCACAAAGTCGCGCTGCTGCTGTATATGCTTCCCACGCGAATACGAAGCTGAAAACAAGGACTCTCGCGAGTGTGTCACCACGCACATCAGGGGGGAAAGCGTAGAGGAGGGCATGGGCCCAAGACAGGGGGGAAGAAGCAGGGACGAGGTTCTGCAAAAATAGATACATACCTGGTACGACATATACATACCACCAGTAGTCTACGCAAGAGTTGAAAGAAAGATCCTCGGGCCGATAGCACTGAGCACACTTGGTTCCCAGTCGAGTGCCTCGTACCTTCTTCGGCCCCTTCCTCTCTCCGACCGCACCGGAGGAGCTTGCCACGGGGGAGCTTGCCAAGCAGGAGGTTGCCGCCGCGCGGTTCTTCAACGGTGCGTCGAAGTTTTCCACAATCGCCCCACCGGTCGCTTCCCGCCAAATGTCCGTGGCGCCCACTGCTGTTGTTGGCGGTTGAGCGGGGTTGAGCAGCCTTCCTTGCAGCCCTGTGCAGATATTTGGCTGCGCAGTGTCCCAAGGCGTTCCGTGACTCAGCTTCACGATGGCTATCCAACGTCGGCTGAAATAAATCGATTGGTCTTGCGTGTGTGACCCCTCCCTTCGAAGCAAGCTGGCGAGGGCGGGCCGTCTGCCGTCTACCCCGAGCTATCTACCGCACCAGATCTGGAACACCTGCGGAATGTGGAACCGTGGCGTGTGTCACTGGTACCCAGAACGATCTACGAATTGGCGTTTACGACCGGATGGATGGAATCTCCGACGTCTCCGAAATGATGCGGCTTCGGCAGCTTCGGGGCAAAGGTGTGACACTCATGTGTCATGTGTCATGTCTCTAAGCGACAATGTAACACGCTCAAAGGGAGAGGCGCTTGCTTTTGCCAAGGCTGGATTGCGCTCTGAAAAGCCAAGCTGCTTTGCAGGAAGTGCAAAGAACGGTGAGTGTGCAAGAATCGTCAACGGTACCTCTCTCGGAGATCCACGTTCGTGTGAGTTATGTTGAACCAAGTTGGTTGAACTACACATTCCGACAGACACGTCCTCTGCTGCAGACTGCAGACGAGCGCATATATATTCACCACTACTGCTGTACAAGACTTCAACACATCCCGTTCGACTGTGGTCTTGTATCTCGAATGGGTAGTCTTTCTGTGTTTGTATTTATGTTTCCTAATATCTGCCGGTCGCCCCGGTGGTCTAGATGGTATCCTCGACACCTTCTAGAGGTGAGCGCTGTTTGTTTTCAAAAACGCGCTGTTCGATGTTTCAGCCTCCGGCTCTTTCGCGAGGAGGGAGACCAAGGCACACAAGGTGCTGCGCGCCGTGTCTCGCGCCCAGCGCGCAGCGCGGCCGCGACGGTGGCGCAGTGTGTGTGAGGAGGTGGCGGCGCAACCGGCTGCGGTACACAAAGAATAGGTCAAATCGTTTGGGGGGGGGGGGCTGCTGCTGTGTGCAGCTGCTGTGGTCTGTCTGTTGCAGAAACCTCACGGTTATATTACCAATCAATCCAGTGCTTATTCCTTTCGCGCTGAGGGGGACCGAGGCACAAAAGACACTGCCCGCCGCGTCTCGTGCCCAGCGCGGCCGCGGTCATGGCGCGGTGAGTCTGCGGGGGTGGCGCCGCAACCGGCTCTGCGGTACACACAAAAAAACAGGTGAAATCGGTTTTTTTGGGGTGCGTTGCTGCTCGTGTGCTGTGCCGTTGAGGTCGGTCTTTTTTTTAGAACAACCTCACGGCTACCAATCCAGCGCTCTCCTTTCGCGCGGAGAGAGACCGAGGCACGCAAGGTGCGGCACGCCGTGTCTCGCGCCCAGAGCGGCCGCGGTTGTGGCGCATGAGTGACACAGCAGCAGTAGCAGTCAGGGTGATGTTCGCAGAAAAGTACGCTGCTATTGTACATACGCATACATGTTTATGTTTGCATTCTTCCACAGCAGTATCAGGAGGGGGGGCACAAAAAAAAAAAAGTCCATCCGTTTAAAGGAAAGGTGACATGTATGCACCACTGCTGTATACACATGCATATGCATATCATACGAAAAGTAGCGTGCTCTGTACCTACCTCTGCCTGCCTGTGCTGAATTATGTTGCGCCCTGTACATGTTTATCTAAAATTCTGTAGGTCTAGGCTATGCTGCTGGAAGCGGTTGCTACATAAAAATAAGCTGAACGTCATCCAGCAGCAGCACAGCAGCACCAGCACCAGCAGCATCACCACATCAGCAGCACCAGCAGCGCAGCTGCAGCAGAATACTGTACTACAGAGTATACTCTGGCTGCTGCTGTACGTTGTCCCTTCGTTTCAAAATAAATGGGTTGCTGTGTGAGAGAGGTAGTATGGTAGTATGTAGGTGCAAAATTGAATCCGTTGCCCACGAGCTCATGTCAAGCGGAGAAACAAAACTGTTCCATTGCTGTCCAACTGACAAGAAAGTGCATCAACCCGAGGCCGATGACACCCATGCACGTATCTCACGATGTAGCAGGCGTACCGAGGTCAAACCTCCGGCGCTGTCATCTGCACCCATGGATTTGGCTCGGGTGCAAACGGATTGGGTGTGGGGTGATTCGATGAAGAGATAGAAGCGTCGCACACGACAGAGCAGTGTTGGCAAAACGTTCCTCCTGCTCTATTTTTCTACTTCAAAATAAAGTACTCTTTGAACGGTCCCTCGACAAACTGGTGATGACGCACATGGAACGAGCCAGGGCAAATACGCATTTTTTTCGCGCGCCTTGGTTGTTTTCGTTCGCTATCGGCGCCCGTAGCGCCGACACAGTGACGCCAGGGTGCGTTAGAGACCCTTGCGAGTGTGCCACGTGCAGATTTCATGGCGTTATGGACGATTAGGTCGACTGACCTTCGGTGATCGCGCCGCACCCAGTTACGCCGCCTCAAGATTTGTCGGAAGGCTCGTTTCGACAGATCTTGGGTCAAGATTTGTTCGAAAGGGCAGATTTCGGGCCTCGAGAAATCTTGGCCAAGATATATCGGAACATTTTGCTCCCATAAATCGTGAAACTGGCAGATCTTGGCCAAGATCAAGATTTATCGACAAGATTTTGTTCCCATAAATCGGGGTCTAATAATAGCAGTCTACAGGCCAGTGTAGAGAGAATTCATACAGCGTACAGTAGTAGTAGTAAACATAAACAACAGCAGACCAACGAGGCCGCGTTGGCTACACAACAAGAAGAGTTCATGTTTTGAAAACTGAAAAAGATTCGCCGAAAAGGTTTTCATGTGCCTGGTCTCTCGGTGTGTACCTACACAGCACATGACATGCCTCTTCCACACATAGTCTACATTAGAATAGATGTGGAGTCATCATTCATGTGCAGGAAATTGATGCAGGAAGAAATATCCGTTCTCTCGGTGCACTACAACTGCTGTACACAGCACATGCCTCCCACAAACAGGATAGAAATCCATGTAGATAGATGGAGAGATATCGTACAGCA